GTCAGAGAGAGAAATAAGTTGCCACTTGAACTTTTTGAGCAGTAGAGAAGCATGACCAGATGCCATTAAGCTATGACAACCCTATCCTGAAGCTTATCTGCATTCTGGATCCCCGCTTTGGAGCCTGGCTTGCTCTAAGTGACAAGTCATGTTCCAGGTGCTCGGAGAACCTTTTAGCACCCCATTCCTTGAAGGAGCTTCCAACAGCTCTCATTTGTCAGCCCCAAATTTACCCCTAAACTGATCTGTGACCACATAATCTTCAGCCGGGTCCTCCCATTTGACTCAAGGAAGCTTTGGGTCGACCAAGGGTGAGCATAAGGACAGAAGAACCAGTAATCCTTGATGCCAAGAAGATCCACCAGAATTAGGAAAACAGATTAAAAAAAGGAGAGTGTGGTGCTGTCTTCCAGGATGTAAATTCACAGGGACCTGACACCCAAGCTGCCCATAGCTGTTCCCACACCCAGAGAAGCCAGGAGTCCTGGCCTGCATCTCCCTACCTGGGAGGTTCTCACCAGCTCCATATCTCAGCACCAAGTCACCTAAGGATGGTTTTGAGAAGCTGAGATTTTTGTGAAAACACTTCATTTAAAGAAATATGTTTCATTGGATAAGTGAATAAATATACATGCCTATTATACTGGTCCAGCTTTTCTAGAAAATTTTAATATGTTATGAGAAATTATATAAGTTACATTTTTGTTACTGAAAAAAAATAGGAACTGTGGATAAGGATAAAGGAAAAAACCTGGGAACGACCATCTTTCACTTACTGGTTTGTGTAATTCCATGCTTTGTTTCCATGTATATAAATATGTTTTTATTATAAAAGTGACATTTTAGTCCACGTATTATTTTGTAACTTGGAAGCACAGTTTTGGGTGGGCTTTATTTCTTTTTTCTCATTTCTGTTCTAAGAAACCAAGGGAATTTAAAATGAGATGAATTAATCAATAATTGAAGGAGGGTTATTATACCATTCAAATTGAAGAAAATTTATGTTGACAGGTGATATACTGGTGTTATAGAATACTGTAAATAATTTCCCCCCAGAACCTTGAGTGAGGGATATATTCATTGTTTATTTTTAGGATTAATCAAATGTTCAATAAATACTTAACCAAGCGAAATAGGTTTTTTTCCTTGAGTTACTTGGCTATTACTTTAAGATATTTGAAGATGGAGATACTATATTATCTGTAAGAACATTTGATTCACATATTATTAAAAATATTAAAATCTGTATTAACAGATCATATTTTGATTGCTTTTTAGGTTTGTCATAATCTAATCCTCTAATCTATATTCTAGGGAGAAACTATTTTAAGACTTTCTTTTGCAAAGTGTATTAGGTTGGAAGAGAGGATTATAAAGCAATGAAATTGCAATAGTAACACAGAAGATCTCTAAAACTTGCTTTACAATGTTATTTCTTTGGACTTTATGGCTTTATCCAAAGTTTTAGCTATTGAGGAACTCTAGTATCCCCACCTTCATAAAGCAATTTTATGGAACCATAGAAATTGATTCGTAAAGTTTTAGACCTGAAAAATATATGGCCATCTATCCAGGCCTTGGTAAAGGGCTCATTTTATTTAAAATTAGCCATAAATTACTTACTCTATGAGGACATCAATATAAGGAACTTTTTGACAAGTCCAGGGGCTAGATGAGGAAGAATTTTTTTCAAACACGGTTTGATTTCAGTAAAGTAATAACCTTGAACATTATGGGGTTTTTGACGTGCTATCACTTAGACGTTGTTCTTATCAAGATCTTGCATCTTAACTGGGATATCTCATTTTGCCTGGATGGATATTTTCTTGAGGGTTAGCAAGTTCTCAGCGTTGTTCATTAATTCATCCAACGCTCAGGAACCGTTCTCGATGAAGGGGACACACAGAGAGGCATAAAACGAGACCTCCTTCTTTAAAGAGTCATAGTCACAGTCATAGTCTGGTGGGAAGACAAATACGTAAGCAAATTCAGGAAGACTTCTTAGGTTAATTCAAAGGGAGATAAACCTCACTGAGATAAACCTCACTTTGAATTAACATAAAGAAAAATGTATGTGTTTTTGAGTGAAAGTAAAATATCACTCCATGTTTTTAGAAGATCATGTTTAGAGCTACGTAAGCCAAGTCCAGGGACTGAGAGCTGCTAACAAGTGTAATGGACTGTTTTGGAGTGTGGGGTCGTTGAGAAAATAAATGACATGCAGAGGAGTTGACCCCTGGTGTAAGAATGCCACACGTGGAGAGAGTGGAAGTGACTGTACTGAGGGACATTGTGACCGTGTGGAGGGACAGGGCCATCCTGTGTCCAAATGAAAGGAAGACATGGATGCCTGCCATGTCAGCTCAGCCAGACGGAGACTTCCAGTTACCTAAGGAGTGTTAAAAATGCAATCTATGCATTCATTCTTCCCTTCTGCTGCAATGTCCTGAATCCTTCCAGTGTTAGAGTCCTAATGAAATAGTAATTTCACTGTTTTACGTGTGTAGGCTGGAGTGGGAAGATGAGAAGGTCAGATAATTATGGAACGGTTTTCACTCTGCAAAAAAAGGCAATGTTTAGGAGATGCTGGCTAAATGTGACATCTTAGAAAACATTTGGATTAAAAATAAATTAAGCTTAATCGGCCTTTAGTAAGTTCCAGGCACCACTCAGACCTTTTTAAATACATCATCTCAGTTGAGCCTTTCAACAGTCCTATGAGTTAAGTACTTTATTATTCCTGCTTTACAGGTGAGAAACCCAGGGCACAGATAACCTTAACTTGATAACGGACTCACCCTTCTGAGTGGTGACTCCAGAATTCCAGCCTGGGCAGCCTGGCTCCAGAACCTTGACTCTTTAGGTCTCCTAGCAGCTCTGTGTGCTTGAGCAAATTGCTTGACCTCCTGCATCTTGTTTTCTCATCTGTAAAATGGGAATAGTCCTAACAAAGGTGCCAGTTCCACAGAGCCGTCACGCATGTAAGTGCCTTGGAGAGAACCGATGTGCAGGTACTTCTGTCTCCGCTGGGCCCGACCCTCTAGAGTGATGGCAGAGCTCAGGAAAGCAGGCTAGGCGACCCTCCTCTAGTACCACAGATGCCGTCTCTGTCAGTGTTTCCTGCTCCAAGAGTCACACGTAAGTCAGCATGAGATAGTAATCAATAAATGGTAGCCGCTGGCTTCGTGAAGTTGTCATTTTTATTTAATCCTGAAACTGATACTGTGCTCTTGAAATCAGCAGGGAACATATATTACCTCGTGCCTGGGAGGAAATTTGTTCTTCTTCCCCTGCTTGTCATCATGCTTCTGCTTAAGAGGAGACTGTAGTTGGCACAGTATTGCCAATTTTGGAGGAATGTGTTACATAACAACAAAGAAAGAAATAAAGAAATTCAGAGGTATTCCAAAACAGATTCTAGTACTCATTTGCTTTGACTCAGAGTTTTTGTGAACTAGCTGCTGGGAATGTAATCTTTCTTTTGATACCTTTGGTATTTCTTAAGCAACTTTGGGTTTGAAGCACATTCTCTAAGAGGTTATACATGTAACATTTCTCAGTCTGAAGAGATGACTTCATTTATGTTTGGGAATGTGGTGCACACCCATGTAAGTCTGTCCTAGTGTTGGCATGCCAGTCATGGTCCTCCAGAGAAACAGAACCAAAGGAGACATATGGGTATCTTTATATATATATGTATATATAAAGTAATTTATTTTAAGGGATTGGCTCATGGAGTTGTGGGGACTGGCAAGTCCAAAATCTGTCGGGCAGGCCGGCAGTCTGGAAATTTAGGCAAGAGTTAAAGTTGCATTTGTGAGTCTGATTTTGAAATTTGTAGAGCAGGCTAGTAGCCTGGAAACTCAGGCAGAATTTCCATGCAATAATCTTTTTTTTTTTTTTTTTTTTTTTGTCAGAGAGTGAGCACAGGCAGACAGAGTGGCAGGCAGAGGCAGAGGGAGAAGCAGGCTTCCTGCTGAGCAAGGAGCCTGATGTGGGACTCGATCCCAGGATGCTGGGATCATGACCTGAGCCGAAGGCAGCCGCTTAACCCACTGAGTCACTCAGGCGCCCCATCCACGTGATAGTCTTGAGGCTGAATTCCTTCCTTTCCAAGAAACCTCAAGTTTAGCTTTAAAGACCACCACCTGATTGGCTGGGGCTCCTCATGTCATCCAGGGGAATCTCCTGTAGTTTAATCAGCTGATTGTAAATGCTAATTACACATATAGACTATCTTCACGGCAGCGGACAGGCCGGTGTTTGACCAAACAGCCAGGCACCGTAGCCTGGCCAAGGTGACGTTAACTGTCACACTTTTTTGTGGGGAAGTTCCCGTTCATCCAAGTTCCAGTCAAAGGCTTTCATGTTCATGATCCCTGATAACGTGTGAATCTGATGGACGGTGCTCATGCGCATGCCTCATTTGTACCCCAATATGTGTAGCATACAGCTGCGCAGGTCACAGCCACCCAGTGCGTGGGTTGGTCCGCCGTAAAAACACCCAACTACTTCCTCCAGTCTTCGTTTCTATGAGCATTACAGTAGGCAGCATGCAAGGGCTAAAAGGTAAGGTCTAGGGTGCTGGTATTAACTAACGGCAAATGCTGCTTTTAGGATGCTGGTTACCGCTAGTGCAAGTGTCATTTTCCTTTAAACATGCTCCGATGGTTTCGGTTAGTTGACAGCAGAGAAACTTTAAGTCAGGGAGCAACCTGTCCTCCTGAGGTTTCAGGCCAATCGATGGATTTTACTCTGGGTATCGACAGCTCTCTGCTGCATGCCCTTGTTTTTGACTACAAGGGCTGACTGTGGTGAAATGGATTATACAGCTTTTATTGCCTCCCGGGGCTGAATCAGGGTCCAGCAGGCCCTGTGTCTGCCTGTGACTTTCCTTTGCCTTTTAATTGTTCAGACCGTGGGGCTGTTGATGGGGCGGCTTCTCTGGCCTCCTACTTTGACTGATTAGTTTTTAACTCAGAACCTGTGTTTCCTTGCAGGATGCCACAACTTGGAAGCCTGATTCATGCCAGAACTGCCGTTGCCATGGCAACATCGTTATCTGCAAACCCGCTGTTTGCAGAAACCCTCGGTGTGCCTTTGAGAAGGTACGGCATCCTAATTATATCCCAAATGTCATGGTAAAGTCAGAGCAGGTTAGGGTTTTTGTGTCTTTTCAGTCATCTGGTTCTGACACGTATCCCGATCTCTAATTGGAAACCTTATGAAATGCAGGAGAGAATTTTAACACATCACATTTAAGAATATCTTAATTTCTACTTATTGAGAATTTACTCTGGACTGGGCACTCAGTTAGTTTTACAAATATTACCCCACTTAATATGTGGGGGTAGGAATCTTTCTCCCCACTTTATAGATGAGGAAATGAAGCCTAGAGATTTCAAGCAACTTAATCACATTATGCAGTTAATAAACTGCTACCCAGAGGATTCCCCAGGCTGACAGATGCTAAAGCCACAGATACATACCACGACATTTACAAGCCACTGAATGGATCGAGAGTCAGCATTGACTGCTTGAAGATAATTTTCTAAAACCATTTTTTGTTCTGCCACTGACTGTGTTACTGCCCGCTGTTGAGCTCCCTCGGAACATGGGAGAGGCTTTGACTCCGGAGAGCTCCTGGTTGGCCAAGTATAGGAGGGATATTTTTTCCTCCTTTCCCCTTTGTTAAAAGTTTTCAGTTTTTTCCAACTATACATCTAATTCTGTTACAATATTTTTTCCAGTTGCTGGCTCTTTTCTTTTTAAAGTGAATCTATTAAAAAAACAGCTTAAGCTTCAAGTTTGAACATTGGAAGCTTTCTGGAGAAGACTAAATTATTTTCTTTAAAAAACGTTCTGTCAATTCCACAAGCACGGTTTATGTTTTTAGTTCCCTGCCTCCCCCATAATAATCTTGAGATGTTAAGCCATCTAGTGCTGGTAGGTTTCTGTCTGTTCTTAACATCACAGTGAGGAAGGTTCTGCATACCTTTTGTTGTAGGCCTCAGTTTCTTCATGGGTGTATTTCTGGGAAGCCAGGTGTACATCCAATGTTGGCAAATTTAATAATATTTTGTTGTATATTGTGGGACTTTCTATTTTATGCAGCAAATACTCCTAAAATGTCTCTACTTAGCTTGCTGAATGATTCATGTCAGAATCTGAATTGCTCATATAAAGACCATGAAGACATGCCTTCTTCCATTTCATGCAAATAACTGTGGTATCATGTGAGAATAAGAAGCCTTGGGGTGCCTGGGTAGCTCAGTCATTAAGCATCTGCCATAGGCTCAGGTCATGATCCCAGGGTCCTGGGATCGAGCCCCGCACCGGGCTCCCTGCTCAGCAGGGAGCCTGCTTCTCCCGTTCCCACTCGCCCTGCTTGTGTTCCATCTCTTGCTGTGTCTCTCTCTATCAAATAAATAAATTAAATATTTTTAAAAAATAGAAAAAGAAGGCTTTCATTAAATGTTAGAAAGATATCGATTGTATTGCTGGAAACTAAATGTATTCTATTCCAGGGGTCAGCAGACCAGATCTGACCTGCCACTTGTCTTCGTATGACCTACGCATAAAGAATAGTTTTTATGTTTTTAAAAGGTTAGGAAAAGACAAATGGAACAATATTTCATGATACAAAAATTGTAGGAAATTAAGTTTTAGTGTTCATAAATAAAGTTTTATTGAAACACAGGCATGCTCATTTGTTTGTGTTGTCTGTGGCTGTTTTTACACTACAAGGATGAAGTTGTGTAATTGCGATGTAGACCAAATGTGGCCTCCAAAGGCTAAAATATTTATTATCTGGCCCTTTCCAGAAGATAAGTTTCTGACCCTTGTTGGATACTGAATGTGACGTTGTCCCTTTCTCATTTGTTTTCCTAGTTTTTCTCATCTTGGTAAACGGCAACTCCTTTCTCCCAGTTGCTCAGGCCAGAACACTTAGCATTGTCCTTGGCCCCTGACTCTCTCCCACATCCCACATCCAGTGCATTAGCAGACACCCAGCTCTTCCTTCATAAAACCATAGGTCCCAAATGCAATTTCCCTGCTTTTAAGTCTGGTCTCACCTGTTATCATTTTTTTGGTCCGTATTCTCACTGTAGCCTTTTAACTTGTTTTACTTTTGCTGTACTTGCCTTGTTCATTGTGATCCCGATACAGCAGTCAGGGTGGTCCTATTAAAATTTAAGTCAGGTCATGTTGGTTCTCTTCTTAAACCTCTCCAGTGGCTTCCCATGGCCTCTCACTCAGAGTAATCGCTCACAATGTCCTGTTACGGTGCTATTACACCTCTGTAATTTGTAATTAATCTCCTGTTCTTTCCCTTGCTCACTCTGCTTCAGACACCACATCTGCTTGGTGTTCCCTGGAGATGCCAGGCACACTCCCACCATTACAGCCTTTGCACCCTGCCTTTCCCACTAAAATTGCTTTTTCTCCAGATACAGATAATATATGTGGCTTAATCCTTTACTTCCTTTAAATTTTGCCCAAACACCAGTCTATTTAAGATTGTAAATCCCTACCCCACCACACATTTCCTATCTCTCCTCCGTGTTTTACTTTTCTTCTTGACACTAACTAATATCAGACATACTGTATATTTTACTGATATCTCTTATTTACTGTCTCTTTTATTTACTGTATATCCTCAGCACATACAATAGCCCCTGAGCATGGTAGGTACCCAGTAAATCTTTTTTTGACCGACTGAATGAATAAATGAGAGATGAGGCTAGAGAACTGTTAAGTTCAAGGTTATGGAAAGCCTTGTACTATGCTGCATGCTTGGGATTTCATTTTGAAGATGATAGACTTCTAATGAAGATTTCAGGCATATGGGTAGAGTGTCCAACGTTTCTTTTAGAAAGACCTCTGGTTTTTCTAAGATAATGCATGATATTAGAAATGCAGGGATCAATTCAGAGGCCGTGAGAACAATCCAGATGAGGGGATAAAGACCTAAGTCAGAGCACCAGTGGCATAGGGCTCAAGAGGAAAGGGCGGGCTAAAGCACACTTTGCGGATAGACCAGCAGAAGCAAATGAAGTCAGGAGGGTGAGGGAAAGAAAAAGGAGAGATGATTCCCAAATTATGGTGTGAGCACTCTTTGGTTATCTGAGCCACCAACTGATATTAGAAATATGGGATAACGAAGAAAAGCATTCCATCTGGGAGGAATGTGATGGTTTCATTTTAGGGAACATTACGTTCAGAGTGTCCATGGAGGAGCCAGGTGGATAAGCCACCCAATATACAAATCTAAAGCTCAGGGGAGAAAGCAAGGTTGGAATCAGTATATGAGTATTATTAGCATATAATCAGTAGCATAAACCTTTAGAATTAATGAGCTCATCTTAAGAGATTTTGTGAAGAAACAGTATAAGATCAAGGATGCAATTTGGGGAACACTGTCATTTACAAGGAGGTGAGCATAAGAGAGGGAACTTAGGAAAATTGAAGAGACATGGTCAGAGAGGTAAGAGGTAAGAAGTGGTCAGAGAAGAGAGAGGTATTATGGTAGCCAGGAGAGTAGAGAGTTTCCATAAGGCGTTTGTATCAATGGTGTTGATCACAGGCCACCCTGAAGCTGGTGTCATTGGAGTGGTGGGAGAGGAATCTTATATTGTAGAGGTTTGAGGAATGAATAGAAAGTGGGGATAGGAAGCCAAGCAAAGGCTGTTCTTTCGGGGAGCTTTACTGAGAATATGAGAGAAATGGGGCATTAGGCAAACATCAGTACATCTCTGAAGTTTCTTTGAACCTCCAATCCCCAACCATTGAATGCTCCTTTGTGTGGCCATGGTGCTTTGTGCTTACCTTTATTATAGCCCTTGACCAGACTGCAAATGCCTATTTATTTGTCTGCTTCCTCCTTCAGACTCTTAGCTTCTGGAGAACAAAAACCTTGTCTTCTTCACTGTTGCAGCCCATCAAACAGCACAGTGTATGATGCTTAGTCAATATTTGTAAAATGACCAAACAAGACTGATTTAAAAACAAAACAAAAACATAAATAAAAAAAGTTGTATCTGGAGAAAAAAAAAGACTTTGTTTTTGATATTAGCACAAAAGAGACATGATCATACTAGGAGGAAAGGGAGGATGACCCAGAAAAGAGAGAAGCTGAAGATATGGGAGGTGGAGTAGGGAGGACGGACAGAGACAGAATGAATGAATTAGAAGGAGTGGTTTTTCGGGAACAGAGCATGTGGGATCCAGAGCTTAGGGTGGGGAGGACAACCCTTTCTTTAAAAGTGGACAGAAGGAGCCATGGATAGATACAGAAATAGTTAAATTTGTAAGTAAGAAAAGGGACAGGATACTAAAGTAGTATGTATCTGAAGGTATCTATTCTTACTTTGTGAAGACTTTGAGGTTCCGTTGGGAACTGAAAGAGAGTGAATGTTAGGAGCTGTCCCAGAGGAGAGAAAGGGACTGACCACGGTTGAGGTAAAACAGGAGATCAGGAACCTGTGAGGGTATCAAGCTGCATGATGGAATGATTTTCTAAGGGATGTTTCCTAGCCAAGTGTAAGGGAAGAAAAGAAATTGTGGACTAGATCCAAGATTGGGATTTTGCCATATTAATGGTAAGAAAGAATAGATATACAGGAAGTATTGGGAATTAAGGCTAGCATGAATAGGAAAGTGAGGCCAGCTGCCTAAAAGACTGCAAGGAAAAAAGTGTTCAAGGAGCTTTCTGAAGGACAGGAGTGAAGATGAGAGAGAGCTAAAGGCCGGAAGGTTCAGATTTAGAGAGCTGAAGATTTCTGGTATAGAATAATTTGGAGTATAGGTAGGTTCCCAAGGTTGACCATGACCATGGGGAGCTCAAGTGAAGTGAAGAAGATTATGTGAATTGAGGTGGCTAAGAATGTACAAGGATAGAATGTCACTTTCAGAGACATTGAAGTTGTCCAGAATTATGTCTAGACATTGTGTAGAAAAGAAACTGAGACCCAGTGGCCAAGTCTTTAGTGAGTGAGTATGAAGGAGCGCTCTGCAAATGGGTGAATGATAGTAATAAGAATGCCATTATCATAGACTGTGAACTCATGGACTGTGAACTCTAAGGAGGTTCCTCAGGGGTAAAATGAGAGGGTTATACCAGATGATCCAACCAAAAGAAACTTCCAACTCAAAGATCATGTCAGTGGGTCACAGAGTACTTGGGTTCTTTATTTTAAGTCATGAAAAAGATCATAGAACGTTAGAACTACAAGAGGCCTTTGGAATTCATTTAGTCAGACTTCCTCATTTTCTAGACAAAGAAACAGACTTTTGGGGTTTTAGTGACTCACTTAGAAACAAAGAGCTACTAAGCGGCACACCCATGACAAAACCTTAGTCCCTAGCTCATAACCCAATGTAACTTCTACTCTACCATATTGCTTTTAAGTTTTCTTTTGTGTTTCTCAGTAGCATGTGTTGTTATTCAGATCTGTTATGGTATATTTATATTAGTTTGTGGCACAGGTTAATGAATCACATGTACCCTATTATTATAATTAATGACTTTTGTTACTCCCATCTTTTAAAAACGTTTAAAAGCCCTTATACAATTTGTTTTACTCATGGATTGACCAGAAATAACCTATTGTCAATGGCAATTCTAATATTTCTTTCTTCCTTTCTTTCTCTCTTTCTTTCTTCCTATCTATCTACCATCTGTCATCTCTCTATGCATCCTATCCATATATAATAGATTCTATATCCATTCCTATATCTACCTAGAATAGCTAGCTAGAGAGCTAGCTGCATAGAACTGAGACAGAGACAAAGTGAGAAAAACAGAATAGAAGTATATAGAACCTTGAATATTTAACCCAGTCCTGTGAGGACCAATCCTCTCTTCAGGATTTCTGGAAAATATATATGTATAGAGGACAATGCCATGTGAAGGAACATTGTATTACGTGGTGGGGATTCAGCTGCAAATCTAAATGCAGCTAATAATAGTACTTGCCTAGTTAAGTCACACATAATACAATTCTCACAACGTAATTAGGTAAATACTCTTATTAGCTGTCTAGGTATAATACATATACACACACATTTTTATAGGTACACATATACACATGTGCACAAATATGTGTACGTCTACACATATACATGTATATGCTTCAAAGAGTACCTGGCTATCCTAAGTACCCAGTCAAGCGGTAGCTGTGATTGCCGAATGATGATCATCATTATTTTTGGTTAGTTTTTATAGACCCTGGGCAAGTAATCTTGCCCAGCAAGCCCAGCGATCTTCGCTGCTATCTCTTGCCCATGTGGTCACTTCACGCGGTTCCCCAGTAAGGCTGGGCTTGTGTGTTCCAGGTAGCCCATGCGCCGAAGCTGTGCAGGGTCACGTGGTTAGAGAGCAAGAACTCCGTCTCTCCTTCTCTAAGCTCCCACATGCAAAGTGCTTCGCTCTTCCTTTAGCCCCAGTCACCTCTTTTTTTTTTTTTAGTTAATCATTTTTTTAAATTAAAATATAATGTATTATTTCTTTCAGGGGTACAGGCCTGTGATTTGCCCGTCTTACACAATTCACAGCTCTCACCATGGCACGTACCCTCACCAATGTCCAGAATATTCACCCCCTGCACCTAGCAACCCTCAGTTTTTTTCCTGAGATTAAGAGTATCTTATGGTTTGTCTCCCTCCCTGGTCTCATCTTGTTTCATTTTTCCCTTCCTTTCCCCCACGACTCCCCACCCTGCCTCTCAAATTCCTCATATCAGAGAGATTATATGATAATTATCTTTCTCTGATTGACTAACTTTGCTTAGCAGGATACCCTCTAGTTCCATCCACGTCATTGCAAATGGCAAGATATCGGGTGTTTTGATGGCTGCATAGAATTCCATTGTGTATATATACCACATCTTCTTTATCCATTCATCTGTTGATGGACATCTAGGTTCTTTCCACAGTTTGGCTATTGTGGACATCGCTGCTATAAACATTCGGGTGCACGTGCCCCTTTGGATCATTACATGTGTATCTTCAGGGTAAATACCCAATAGTGTGCCCAATCACCTCTTTGATGTACCACCACAAGTTCAATAGTTAGACTCAAGTTGAGGGCCCTTCCACTGCCAGTCACAAATAAAGAATATCACATTTATGAAATGAATATTGGGGGCCAAGTCTGAAAATCAGTTTTTATAGAAAACAAAACTAATTTGGGTGCTTAAACTATTCCTTCAAATTTTCCATTCTACATGCCTTTCTCCCTTGCTCCCTGCTTCGTGTTAGAATATAAACAGCTTGGAGATCTCATTTTCTGTGTGAAATTCTTAATGGAAATGATGCTGATGTAGTTTCTACATTTTACTGTCTTAGTGAAAATCAGGGAAGTCTAGTTTCCTCTTGAGTTCAGAGGGCAATTTTCTGAAAAGTCATTAATGTTGCATAGTATAAACAACTTTCTAAAACCCCATATTGTATATTTTATCTTTTATCAAGCAAATTAGAAGAATTTGGTGATCACTATTGCTAGATAGAATTCTATTTATCTGTTTAGTGGATGAACAGTGGAAAAATCTTAGTCCTGTTTCTCACCCACTCTTATGAATGTGGTTATATAAAATTATATAAAATTATATAAATTACATAAAATTATATAAAATTAGAACGCTCTCATGGGTACAATTTTTTTAAATGAAAGCAGCTCCAAAACATTAATACACACACACACATACACACACACACACATATATATATATTTTCATTCTATATATATATATTTTCATTCTACTGGGTGAATTCTTTGTAGATTTTTATTCTGTGGATAAATCATGAATCCCTGGTTCATGTAGGTTCTCTTACTATTTTTGGTCTAAATTACTCATTGCCTGTTCTGTCACATCTTTAAGACTTGTGGAAATGAACACTGAGATACCTAAGAGGAGAAAGCAAGATGAGTCAGAGGATCACTGGGCCCCAAAGCGAAACGTATGCTCTCTGATCCACAGTTTTAATAACGCAAGGATAGATGGATTGTTCACGGTGGCAAATGGATGGCTGGTTAACCTGACAGCTTCCTAATAAATCCTGGGGTATCATGTGGTAGCCCATTCCCTTGATAGTATCACATCTTGATAGGAAACACTATTGGAATTACAGAAGGCCTGAAAAAACAATGTAGATCTTTATTGGAGCCCAGGAATTCTACCCGGCTCCCCACAGTACATGTGATACCCCCACAACAATGCTGTTTCCTCTCCTAGCTTTGTCCTTCAGTCCCCTGCCCCATGTGCCTTGCTACTCTGTCTAGTAAAAGCGAACATCAGAACTTGAGCTCCCTGCCTGCTGGGTTCATCAGACCTTCCTAGGACAGCTAGAACACCTACCAGCTCTCTGGCCACCCCATCCCCCCCACCCCCTGACCCCACGTCTTCTCTTCTCAGCAGAGGGAAACAACCCCTTCAGGGAGACACAGCCCTTCTCCTTACCCTAATTTCTTTTCTTGTGTGGCACTCAGAAGGAGCATTGCCAGTGAATAAAATTCCCCACCTTATTGTATGTGAAAAGATGTAGACAATTTTCAAGGAAATTACTTTCACAAGAGGGTTCATTTTGACTCTGAGAAAAGCTTGACAGAGAGAATGTTTTTGTCAGTTTATTTGATTTACCCTGTCTCTTGTCACGTGGAAACGCATGAAACGTAGTGAATCTGAGATGACTTGGGGTCCGGTGAGCCATCATGGGTTTGTTTGCTGCCGCCATCTTACCCTGAGCTGTTTTTAAATGCTCAGGGAGAAGTGCTTCAAATAGCGGCCAACCAGTGCTGCCCTGAGTGCGTGTTGAGGACTCCCGGATCTTGCCGCCATGAAGAGAAAATCTATGCGGTAAGTGTATTCTGACCTGGCGCTGATTCTGTGCCTTTGGATCATTGGGCCAAAGAGAAAGCTGAATGCTGCACTTGTGTTGGTAAGAGAGGTTTTCTTTTCTTCTTCTTCTTCTTCTTCTTTTTTTTTTTTTGTCTAGGCCGCAGAGGACCTGAAAGTCATTTGACTTTCTATGGGCATTTGGGTTTCTTGAATGAGGTTAAAACAGTTCTACTTATTCCATAGGTCCTACATAAATATTTGTAGATTGAATTTGTGTCTGTATAAAGAGCAGTTTGAGAATGCTGATGTGGAAGAAGTCGTGGTGCTGAATAATTAGGCACCACCTCGTCTGTGTGTACCACATGATTGACTGGATCCTGTGAACTCCTTCATCTGAGAGATGCAGCTTGGTGCTTTTGACTTTAAACCACATCCCTATCAGATCCTTATGACCTGGCATTACTCCTGTCATCGATGTGCTCTACAGCACTTACCGACAACCCCGAGTGGATAGAGCAGATATTATTACTCCTGTATCGAAGATAAAAGCGTTGACTTGAAAAGAGCTTAAGGTACTCACCCAGTGTCATATTACTAATAAGTGGTATAACCTGGCCTAGAACCCTGGCCTTCTTACTCCTAATTCAGTGCTCTTTCCATTAGGTGGAGTTTCTACACTGCAGCACTATTGACATTTCAGGCTGTGCTGTAGGGGCTGTCCTATGCATTGTAGGATATTAAGCAGCATTCCTGACCTCTGCCCACTGGATGCTGGTAGCACCCCTAAGTCCTGACAGCCAGAAATGTCCGTAGGCATGGCCCAATGTCCCCTAAGAGGCCAAATGCTCATCTACCCATTTAGAACCACAGTACTAGAAATCAATCCTAAAGTTTCTTAATTATACTTTCTCATTCCAGACCCTTTAGAATTCATTTACAGACGTGAAGTACCAATTAAAAAGTACCATTGCAGGGTTTGTGGCAGGAACTATGAAAATGGAATGGGTACAGTTCATCTTTGCTTATACCTCAGTGTTACCCGGAGGCGGCTGGTGAAGTTGAATGTGGTGGAAGGAGGTTCTTTGCTTTAATCCTCATCTTCCACCTGATACAGAACTCTCCCCAGGTTAGTGCCCCTGCCCATTCAGGTTAACGGGATTGGATATACCCACTCTAGGCTGCTATTCAGTGTGTGTCCCTAAAACTCGGTGAGCCTAGTGTACTTTCCCCGTGGGACAGGATCATCTCCCTTGAGCCACTGTCTCCCAATTACCCGAGGAAGCCACTCTTTCAGTTCTGCACAATGTGTTGCTGACACATAGATCCCAGGCAGGATCTATGCTGGGAATGTCTTCAGACCACGTATCACACTTTGCTGCTCAGTACCGTCTGTGTTATAAAGAGTGGTGTACACCTCACGTGCCACTGAAGAGGATCCTCTGTGGGATGGTAAGTGCTGTAGAGCACATGGATGACAGGAGTAATGCCAGGTCATAAGGATCTGATAGGGATGTGGTTTAAAGTCAAAAGCACCAAGCTGCATCTCTCAGATGAAGGAGTTCACAGGATCCAAAGTAAAGTCAAGGGACAATCAGACATCTGAAATAAATGGAATACAAGGGACATGGAAAATCCAAATTCAATAAATCTTTGCACTCTAATGCCATTCATCGTTTGTTCTCTTGTGTCGTATTTGTTTACATGTGCAATCTTCTTATCTTGGCTTAAGGCGCTTGAGAACACTGACAGTATTTTCTGCCTCTTTGCAGTGATCTTCTTGCCTCTCATCTCACCAGGCGCTTAGCACTGAACTTTTCCTAGAGTAGGTGGTCAGTAAACACCAGTTACTGGAGGACCCACACGGCAAGCAAATCCCTTCTCCAACTTATCTCTATCCTTGTTCCAACGGCATGTTGGTCATTGACCTGACCAACGACCTATGAAGCGGGATAGTTCTAGGACCACAGGTCTTCTGGTGGATTAGTTAAGATACGAAATCTGCTTGGTATCCAGCTTTTTCTGGAAGAGTGTGGAAAGCTCTTTTTTTCCCACCTCCCCCCGCCCCATTCTGCTGTAAGACATCATCACATGGAAAGCTCTAAGCTGGGTGAGAACATATCCATGTGTCGGTTACCCATATGCAACTTCCAAAATGTACTCCTCAGAAAATGGTGTATTTCTGGGACTTGATGTAAGTGAGAAAAGGCTGAATTTCAGGAACTATATTCTGAAGGAAAAATTCTCCAGTGGTCTACTTCTTCAACTAGAGATAGAAGAATGATTTTTTTTAAAGTCAAGACAAAAAAATGGTCTAATTTTAGTCTTAGTAAAGTCAAAATCATCGCGTTTCTTGTCTTCCTGCCCTTCCTTCCTCTCTTACTTTTGTCACTTCCCCTAGAGTCTTTCCAAAGCCTTCTTACTTATTTTCTTGCATGGTTTAAATACTTTTCTGGGTTTCCTCTGAATCTCAGCTTCTCTCTTCTATCACTAGGGTTTTCCCTGAGTCTTGGAGAGTTTGTTTTTGGGTTTTTTTTTGTGGGGTTTTTTTGCCCCTTTTAGCTTGCTTAGGAAGCCATCCAGAGCACTTTTCCTCTCTCCCTGAACTGCAGTAATCTGGTCTTTAGCCTCTGGCTTGCCTCCATAGGGCAGGCCATGGAGACCCTCTCCCTGTAGCTACAGAACAGCCGGTGTTTTAAGAACTTCAGATTGGTGATCCAAGGTGAAACCTTTACCCTAAGAGAGGGCTTTACAAGAGGCCTTAGCATAAAGTGAGTGTGGTGAGGAGGAGGGAAATTAGTTGAAGTGAGACTGTCTCCAGAGAACAGGGTCGAAGCAAGGGCAAGTCAAGGATGAGTGCAGCACGGGGCAGTTTTAATGACGCGGCGTCGCCCCACCAGAGGGCTGCCTTGGCTTGCAGGGTCCACAGCGTCTTACACAACTGGCCTTCTAACAAGTCTAGACAAGTCCTGACACCTTCCCTGGAGTGAGGAAAATGCTTGAGCCTTTTGGCCGACTCCTGGTTATTTGAGAGTCTTACATGGGCTTCTTACAGCCAGCATTTAGGGGACTACTTCCTCCGTGACCTCCCCAAAGCTCTCCCTTCAAATGAGTGTTTGGATCACTGCCCAGCCTTGCCAGCCATTCAGGGAGACAAGCCTGAAATATGTTTTCCTAAAAGAGTGCTGGAGTGCTTTTCCCTACTCTTTGCCCCACAAATTAGCTTGTGGAGGGGAGGGAACAGGACCATCAATCCCCTTTCTTTCCCTCTCTGCTAATTTAATCCCACCACCAGATAATGTCAGGTCTGAGAAGATAGTGCTTGAAGATTCCCTGTAAAAGAAAGTGGCAGGTGGAGATGCCCTCCTGTCCATATTCGACTGAACAGAGCACAGGGAGAGGTCAGCTCACTCTGCCCGTGTGGGAGGCTAAAAGGAGTACTAATTTATGTGTGAAGGAAGAAATGAATATCGAATTCCACAGCCTTGTTCTCTTCAAAGCGGAGGATGTAATTATAACATGCACAGAACATTCCCAGGTAGTTAGTATTCTGGGTCTATAACTTCATAACAGGAACAAATTATATGAAGAAAAATTATTTTATTGTTCTGTCAGCAAGCCAGGCAAATACTTTATGACCTTATCTTTCCTTTGGACTTATGTCGACAGCCAGGCCGACTTCTTAGCAGGCTGTGCAGGAGAATATATTGAAGATGTTGTCTGCAGAATGCACTTTTGTCCCATGTCAAAATCTCATCTTTTCTGAAGGTATTAATGAGGTTAAGATGACGCAGCTAAAACCAGGTCTGGGAGCGCTACTTTGTGTGTCTGTTATTCCTTGACTTTACGAAGCTCTCTTCGCTGCTCCAGTGTTTATAAAAAATAAGGCTTTTGTCAATAGGTGTAGAGAACTCTAGGAAATTGTATATATATTATATATTCAGTTATTACTATTATATTAAAATTTTATATAGATTTATCAGATAGATAGATATCAGCTGGTGCCAAACCCCCACCCCTTAATCTCTAGTCGTCCTCTGCTGAGAGCAGCGTCACTGGGGACTTACGTGACTTTTTCCCAAAAGAGAGCCATTTGTCTCCATCACTCCGTGTACTTTGGACCGTCATCTGATCTTCTTCTGTGGCTTTGACATCAAGCATCGGAGACTCCCTACCCAGTGTTCGTTGTTATTTCCATAATTTTCAAGCTTATTGTGAAGGAGAAATCTCCTGCCTCATTTTATGTCTCTTGAGTTACATAATAGATTCACATCATTAGAGAGCTTGAAGAGACCAAAGAGAAAACCCACACAGCCCTCTCATTTTACAGATGAAAAAATTCGGGTGATTGACAGGTTGTTATTGTAATTAATTTTTGTGGTCTCTGTCTGAAAGGTGGAGTGACTGCAAATGCTTAAGAAACAACTGTTCGTGTTTCTGAGTAGCAAGAGAATAAGCTCTTGTTTTAATGAAGTGAAATGTCGAGATGCTTAAAGCAACCTCCTAACTTACAGTAAATAGAGAAGTTCACTTCAAGTTATTTTATAGGTAGCCTTCACGTTTTACTTTATTTAAGACATATAAATGATTTATTTGATATTTTAAACAGTAATTTGCTTTCTGATGACAAAAGTAAAAATATGTTTATGGTAAAAATTCAAAAAATTAAAAAGTGTATAAGCAGAAAAAAAATCACTGGTAATTTCCAAACTATGAAAATCACTGTTACTGTTTCCTCAGTTTTTTGGAGAAGGGGTGGCAGTGTAGATGGATAGATGGGTAGAGAGCTATGTTCTGACATAATTGTAGTGATACTATGTGTACAGTTTATGTCTGTCTTTTTAATACAACATTGTGAATGGTTCCCTGGCGTACCCTTGGAGAACACGATTTCCTATTATTAGGTATTTACGTAGCTTCTAATTTTCATGAAAGTATTTCCAATTTTGCTATAAAGAGCAATGAAATGGAAATCCTTGTATTTAAACTTATTTTGTGTGTTATCATTGATCATTTTCTTCAGATAACTTCTTAAAAGTGAATTTAGTAGGCCAAAGCAGCTAAAGATTTTGAGTATTGGGGCTATGTCATCTGTGGTCACTAAAATTCAATTTTAAGTTGTCTGTGTCTGATGAGAAATGCAGTGGGAGTGACACAGGTAGTGCAACCGCTTCTCAAGTACGCTTACCTTGGGCAAGCCCCACGGGGCTGAGCATTCCAGATGCTTCTCCAGGAGAAATCCCACCCCACTGCAGCTTCACCAGCACTACTATGAATTTTAAAAATTTCCCTATATCTGATATTAAAAAGTATTATCCAATTTTACTTTAATATTTCTTTGCAATTAATAATGTTAAATAGTTTATAAGCTTATTTTTTTCCTTTGGGTTTTTTTCTTATTGCTTATAAATGCTTTTGCATAATAGTTTAGTTCTCATTAATATAATTTGCAATTTGTATCGGTCAGTCATTAGCCTCTAATTTTATGTAAAAGGTATTTTTGACAGAATTTTAAAATTTTAACTCATTAACTCATAGGAAGCTATCAAGTTTTCTCTTAGAGTTTCTTTCTTTGCTTTTATGCTTAGGCTTTTTAAAGTATAAAGGTCAATTGCTCCCTATCTTTTATTAGCCAATATATTATTAGCAAGTTGTGGGCTTGCCCATTTATATGCTGTACTAAATTTGGAATTTTGTATTTAATTTAGCAGAAGTAAAAATTGATGCTAGAGGACTTGGCCTTGATATTATGTCCATTTCTACAGTTACAGCTGGCAGAGAGGTGTGAAAAGGAGGAGGAAGGCCATGAACTCAATGCAGTGGAAAGAGGAGAGAGGATTGAGCACACTCTACCTGCCGCCCACCCCTGCCCCTTGCTTGCTCTTTAACAAATGACCTCATTTAATCCTTTTAATAACCCAGCAGAGGGGGTACTGGCATACCATTTCAGTTTCTCACACCAGGAAGCTGAGATTTAGAAAGGTTAAGTCAATGCAAGTTGATGCAGCCACTTTGGAAAACAGTGTGGAGATTCCTCAAGAAATTAAAAATAGAGCTTCCCTATGACCCTGCCATTGCACTACTGGGTATTTACCCCAAAGATACAGATGGAGTGAAAAGAAGGGCCATCTGTACCCCAATGTTTATAGCAGCAATGGCCACGGTCATCAAACTGTGGAAAGAACCAAGATGCCCTTCAGCGGATGAATGGATAAGGAAGATGTGGTCCATATACACTATGGAGTATGATGCCTCCATCAGAAAGGATGAATCCCCAACTTTTGTAGCAACATGGACGGGACTGGAAGAGATGATGCTGAGTGAAATAAGTCAAGCAGAGTCAATTATCATATGGTTTCACTTATTTGTGGAGCATAACAAATAGCATGGAGGACAAGGGGAGATGGAGAGGAGAAGGGAGTTGAGGGAAATTTGAAGGGGAGGTGAACCATGAGAGACTGTGGACTCTGGAAAACAACCTGAGGGTTTTGAAGGGGCGGGGGGGGGGAGGTTGGGGGAACCAGGTGGTGGGTATTAGGGAGGGCACGGATTGCATGGAGCAATGGGTGTGGTGCAAAAACAATGAATACTGTTAAGCTGAAAAGAAATTTAAAAAAAAATTAAAGCTGGAGAATATAATAACACTCAAAAAAAAAAAAAAACCCAAAAAACAAAAAAGGTTAAATCACTCGCTCACGGTTCCCAAGGCAGGGAGGGCAGAGCTGGGAGTCTCCAAGGAGACCCTCAGTTCTTCTAACTGCGTGGACACTTGTATTATTGTTCTCTTGTGCTCCAAGAAGTCTGTCTAGAAGAAAGTAATCTCCGTGATAGTGAGGTGATGACTCACCAAATAACTGGGTAACTGTGACTACTTATTACTACCTCATCATAATAATAGTACAGGTTATGAGTAATTCCAAAATGCCGGACATGGCGTGCTTGCAACCGGCTGCAATTTGCAGAATAAAGGGGGCACTGACTTGTGTGGGTAAGACAGAGTCCTTTTGTGTTTGAAAGAGATGAATAACTACTCTGGAAGACGGCTTGAGGAGAAGCAAGAGGATCTTCATTTTCGTTGCTTCTCAGTCACCCAGTTGTAATCCCCAGATTGTGTTTTGGTGATTGAGCACCAGGAATGTGTGATGTTTTTAATAGAAATTTATATATGATTTGGGCTGAATCAGCTATCATCATAGGCCACATTTTGTAGAGGCAGAGGATAGCAGTTTCCAATATTTAAGAAAATTTTATAGGAGGAAGGTTTCATTCATTAAGCTTATTTTCCCCCCTTACGTTTCATAAAAGGCCACCATTATTCCATTCTGCCATTGAGGACACAACATACTTTGCCATCTACTGCCCTAAGCGGACAACATATTTGAGGCTTTTTACATCCAGGGTTCACCCCCCTCTTACTCTTACACATCAAGTGTGATGCATTTCAATATTTTTGGTGCTCAGTAAGTCCTATAGCTCCAAACCTCCATCTGTCAGATCACTGGTACAATGCTAGCTTTCAGCCTGAAGTGGAGTAGCAACATTCTGTGTATGTAGGGGGGCTCTGAGTTGGCTCTGCAGTTTGTGGGAGACCTGGCTGGCTGTCCTACTTTCCCCCAGGACCAGATCATTGGAGCAGGAGAGTGTCAGGGAGGCAGGGGAGAGGAATATGGGAACTAATCAGGGTAAAAAGTAAAGGCAGAAAGAAAGAGAAAGAGAGAAGAGGAGAGGGAGAAGAAAAAGAGAGGAAGGGAGGAAGGAAGAGGAACAGAGTGAGAGCTCTTGAAAACAATATGACCATTATACAGAATATAGTAAATACATATATGCATGTGAATATTTTAGGCTTTATAGAGTTTTTTTAAACGATTGGGGTCAGAGTACTTTTTATTATCTTTTTGTGTTTTTCTGAAAACTCCAAATATAATCTTAAGCATGCTAAGAAGAAAAGAAAAGAAAATTCAGTTTTTTAATTGGTTTCTGACTTGGAACAATGTAAACCCTGGTCTTAACTTTGTAAGCCTAGAGCTTTCTTCCATCTCTCCCGAGCACCATCCTTGATGTGTGTTAGAGGTTTTTTTCTGTTTGTCAAATGAAAGCTATATTCTGACAATACCCTTTTCCTTCTTTTCCCCCAACCCCCAGCATGGGACAGAGTGGACCTCCTCCCCGTGCAGCGTGTGCTCTTGTACTCATGGGCAAGTCCGCTGCAGCCCCCAGCCTTGCCCACTGCTGTCGTGCGGACAGCAGGAGCTGGAGTTCATCCCGGAAGGAAGCTGCTGCCCAGTGTGTGTGGGCCCTGGGAGTGAGTATGAACTTGTAGAAAGGGACCCTCTTTGCCTTGGAGGTTCACCTGCTGACAGCCCAACTTTTCTCCTTCTTGCTCAGTGGGGCTCAAAGATCCCTAACCCCGTTCCTTATGGGAACCAGGTTGGAGCTTTGCACTTGGCAGAAGCAATGATGCAGAGAGTGAGGTTGGAACACACCAGATTTGGGGTTCTGCAAGTCTCTGACTTATTTACTTTGCACTGGCCCAACGTGTCCCTTGGCATTTGCAGCTCCAAAGAAGGAAGTGAGGAGGGACGAGATTCTTTGATGTGATTCCATAAGGCCAAGGTAGTCCCCTCTTCCTCTTGGCAGAGACAGAATGAACAAACTGCTTCTCCATGTAGCATCACTAACACCAATTCTGCAGGCTGGTCTTTGAGATGACGTAACATCTCTAAGACACGCAGAGCAGGAAGCCAGTCTTCGTTTGTCTCTGTGGCATGGTCGCTGTGGAGATTACGCTCGCCTACAAACCACAGCCCCATTCAGCCAGCCAGGGGCACCCTTCCAGGCCCTTCCTTGGACCATCCTTGGTCCACGTACTCCTTTTATTACATTTCAGGGATCTATTTCCCTTCCATTTTTATGACTGAGTAGCAAATACTTCAAGATAAATACAAATTATGGTTATTCTGCGTTACATCCTCTCCCAGAAGATGAAGACTAAAATTATTCTTTTATTTAATAATACTCGGGAGCCATACTCTATTTTTGCCTTTTCCTTTTATTGTTTTAATTAAGTAATTTTATTTTTTCATTATTTTTATTATCTTGAGGGAGGAGCGACATAGGGGCAGAGGGAGAGAGAGAATCTCAAGCAGGTTCCACACCCAGCATGGAGCTCAGCGCTGAAACCAGTCTTGATCTCACAACCCTGAGATCAGGAACTGAGCTGAAATCAAGAGTTGGATGCTTAACCATTGGAGTCACCCAGGCACCTCTGCCTTTGCCTTTAAAAAGACCCTGGTTTGTTTCTGATCCCCAGTTATCCCATTCCTGGCATTCCTTTACTCTGGAGAACAAGTACAAGGATTAAAAAGTATGCATTGGAAACAATGAAAATACAATGCTTGCCTCATGCATTTCAGATGTCACCCACCCAAGAGGACTGACAGCTGCTTTGGGCCAACGAACACTGCAACTAAAAATACATTTATTTGACACACAGAGAGCGATCACAAGTAGGCAGAGAGGCAGGCAGAGAGAGGGGGAAGCAGGCTCCCTGCTGAGCAGAGAGCCTGATGCGGGGCTCGATCCCAGGACCCTGAGATCATGACCTGAGCCGAGGGCAGACGCTTAACCCACTGAGCCACCCAGGTGCCCCACTCTCTTAAAAATCCTTGAACAACAGAGTTCGGGGGTGGCAAGCTGGCTGGCTGGGTTTGTGGGACCCTTTCTTGCTCTTTAAGAGGTCTTCTCCTTGGCCTCCGTCCTGCCATTTGGCACTTAGGTGTGTGCAGTCTCCCAGCACCTGCTTCGGGGTCCCCGCTGTGGCTGGGGGCTGGCAGCTTTGCCTGTGATGTGAAATGTTGGGGTCTGAGAGTGAATGGTCAAGGAAATTCTTGAGATATCTTCAGTGCAAAAGAAGGTACTTTTTTTTAAAAGCCCAGGAAAGGTCTGTGGGCAGAAAGCTGCGCTGGGGTCGCGAGGAGGGACAGATTACATACTTTCAGGTTGGGAGGGGGTCAGAGATAGCATAAGTCTGTAAGGAATTGGAAGCGAGGTTCCTAGGTCCTTGAGGGGCTGGCTGCTGTTGGGAAGAGGTCATTGACTACTGTCTAGTAACACCTTAGTCACGAGACCCTTCAGACATGGAGCAGTAGGCTGTGTGCTTGGAGGATGAGTGCTAACCTGTATCTGAGGCAGCGAAGATAAAGTTTCCAAAGGGATTTTTGTATGTTAAAGAAGACTTACAGAATCCTGGAGCTTGGGCTAATTGCCTTTTGCCTCTAGTAGAGTATTAACCTGGAGGCAGCTGAGTTCCTGGAGGAAAGTCATCCTGCCTGTCTTAAGTACTTGTCAATGGGCTGCAAAAGAAATTAATTTTTTTCCTATGTTCTTTTGCCTTTGTTCTCCACATCAGCTGGCGTGGGTTTGGGAGCAAGTGGCTACGAACCCATCTCAGGAAGGCAAGGAGGCAGTGGGATGTGGGACCAATGCATGAACTGAGACTCCCCGGCACAGGTTACGTTATCTCACCAGACTTCACTTATAAAACTCAGAAGATTATTAAGAGCTCCATACGATGGGGGTGGCTGGGTGGCTGAGTCAGTTAAGCGTCCAACTCTTGATTTCAACTCAGGGTTATGAGATTAAGCCCCTTTTTGGGCTCCATGCTGAATGTGGGACGGGCTTGGGATTCTCTCTCTCTACCCCTCCCTATCTCTACCCCCCCCTTTAAAAAACAAACAGAAGAACTCCGTACAGAGACTGCAGAGTTTTAATCCCCAACCAGAGGGCCCTATATGACTGTACTGTCCACACCCAAGCAGTCAGCCCTGGGATCAGGGTATGCAATCAGTCCCCAGTAATCCTTGTTTTTCTGACCTTCCAGAACCTTGTTCCTATGAAGGCCATGTATTTCAGGATGGGGAAGACTGGCCTTTGAGTCGGTGTGCCAAATGTGTGTGTAGAAATGGGGTCGTCCAGTGCTTCACAGCTCAGTGTCAACCTCTGTTTTGTAACCAGGTAAGGAAGACAGCCTCCGAATGGATCCTTGCTGGACTATTAACTTCACTGTTTGGGGACTTGGGGCCTCTGCTGAGGTTGTCAATGCAGCCTTGAGAGTCCTAGGAATAAGACACAAAGACTGTTTTGTTTTTCTTATACTTCTGGAGACCACCACTGACACATTTCTTTTACCCTCAGAAGCTGCAGGTAGATCTAATTACTAGCTGTTTAAGCTAAGTGTTACGTAATGAAAGTGAGCCTTGGGGGGTCCACGCAAAGAAGCCACCAGCTCCAGCTGCAGATGTTGCAAAAATGTCGAGTTGAACATCTGGAAAAGTCCATGATATGATCAGGTCTTGTTTCTCGAGGCATAGGTATCGTCTTGCTTTTTAAGACATACGGATGTCTTTGAACATGATTATCCAGATGTACACTTTTTAATTCTTAGAACGATTCAAATTATTAGGATTTTCTCTGGAGAGCTTTAAAAAATCATGGATTTTGTTCTTCATTTAAAGTTCGTCAGATTTTCAAAATATTAGACTCTTCACACAAACTTAGAGGAGAAAATCAATGGCAAATAAATGTGGGGTACGTGGTATTTTACAGTTTCTGACTCTTCCAGGGTTTTCTGTGGACGTTCCTTGGCAGTTGATAGATAACCACGAAAGGAGTTTGCCTCCAGTTGGAAAATAGCTCATTTTTGATCTAAGGAAAAGCTGGAAGCCAACATTCAGTTGATACAGAGCAGTACTTTGTGTCAAATAAAACAAAATCAATAACAGGGCACATTGTGACAATTGGGCAATATTTTCAAAGGTAGACAAAAGGCAATTAGACAGGAAATGCTAAATGCCAAATAAAGGGAAATGCACCTGATTGAAAGACGAGATTGTCTTACCCGCACGACCACAACGACAGCACGCGTGTCACATCTCCCCATGCATCACCAAGTCTTCGCCCAGCGCCAAGATTACAAATGAGCTTCCCCGGGGAGCTGCACCACATCTCACGTTCCAAGGACGCGGCAGTGCGGGGGCGTTTTGACGTAGCACTTTCCAGGATTCCGTCCCCTTGTGTATGACGGGCAGTTGAGCAGTTTGCCTTGATTGCAGTAAGGAAAGTGGGAGGAGGCGTGGAGGAAACACCCCTTGTGCGCCTTCTGCTTTAAATCGTTGAAACCTGAGCAGACTTCATGTTAGGGGGTAGATATTGGAGTAATTGAAAGTGCTAGTTCCCATTCTTAGAAGCATTACATATAGTGGGGCGCCTGGGTGGCTCAGTCAGTGAAGCGTAGGACTCTTGATTTCAGCTCAGATCATGATCTCAGGGTCCTGGGATCCAGCCCCGTATCAGGCTACACGCTCAGCTGGGAATCTGCTTGAGATTCTCTCCCTCTGCCCTCCCCACCCCCGCATATGCATGCACTCTCGCTCTCTCAAATAAATAAATCTTTTTAAAAAATTTAAAAAATAAAAACACTAACTATGAGCTCTAGCTTCAACCATTACATCACATAGAGTCTGCATTGAAATATACATAATTAATTTAAAAAGATGAAATTTGGCACCGTACTTTAGAGCTAGTTGATATATAAGCATTCTGAAGTCTTGAAAATAGGTTGATTTTAATCACTCTTACACTAAGTTTATATTTCTGCCATGACATATTTAAAAAAAAAATAACTCTCAGGTTACTTAGAAATATTTTTCTTGATTTAATATCATTAGTAATATTGGATGTTCTGATGATATAAAGGGGTGTTAAAAATTTAGGCTTTTGATGGAAACACCATTACCACTATCTACCATCTACCATCATGTCTGTCCTCATCATCACCACATTTTTGGCATTTATTATATGCCAGTCGTTAATTTTCAGAGCTCTGTAATTCTCATCACAATCTTATGAAGAGCTATTATTATCATCCCCTCTTGCCAGTACCTAAAACTGAGGTATGGAGAGCATAAGTGACGTGGGTGACACACCACAGTTAGGAAGCCTCAGTGCTTCTCACTTGGGTTCGGCACCACAACCTCAAGAGACCACACCTGACTCAGCCTTTAACCATTGTGTTAAGTGGCCTTGCAAAAAGAGTTACAAAGCATTACCTATACTAACAATCACAGAAGGGCAGTTACTAACAGCGCTGGACACGATTGCAAGTCTTTTGTATGCATCAACTCATTAAATATTAAAAACATGCAAGTTCATCAGAAAAAATTATTTCCAGGTCTTGAGCTCTAGAAAAAAAAACGATTTTTAATGTAAGAGGGTTTTTTTTTTTTCTTTCCTCTTAAATTGTGAAAGGAATCTGTACTTACTAAGGAAAGTTTGGAAAAGGCAGAAAAGCAGAAAATGATCATTTATATTTCTATCACTCAAAAACATTGTAATAGATTCTTTTGGTAATTTATTTCAATTTTTTTGTAGGCAAATGTGAATATATTTGTTTTTTCATAGTTATAATCACATTTTAGACGTTGGTGATAATCTCTGACAAAAGGAGAAATTTCTTATGTTCAAACAGGGTGTTGTTTCCTTAAGGAGGGATATAAATTCATACCGAGATTACTTGCTACTTTTGTCTAGATGTCATATGAACAGAGTCCTAACCCATCCACATTTTCGTAGTCTCATTAAAATGGTCTGCTCAGTCTGTTGAGAGTTGTTCCTGATGATATATTTCTTTAAAGATTTTATTTATTTATTTTTAAAATTAATTTTTTTTAAAAGATTTTATTTATTTGACAGAGATCACAAGTAGGCAGAGAGGCAGGCAGAAGGGGTGGGAAGGCAGGCTCCCACTGAGCAGGGAGCCCAATTTGGGGCTCGATCCAAGGACCCTGGGATCATGACCTGAGCTGAAGTCTGATGCTTAACTGACTGAGCTACCCAGGCGCCCCAAATATTCCTGATGATATTTTTTTTTAGTACAATTTTTTTAGTACTATAGTTTTCCCATTCCCCATATTGATGAATCTGAGTAGGTCGAACTTTGTCTTCGAATGTTCTTTCAAGAAAGAAAAGATTGGACTGAGGGTTGCTGGAGGGGATGGGGGCAGAAGGGACGGGGTTGCTGGGTGATGGACACTGGGGCGGATATGGGCTATAGTGAGTGTTGTGAATTATGTAAGACTGATGAATCACAGGCCTGTACCCCTGAAACAAATAACACATTAAATATTAATAGAAGAATTTCAGTTAAAGAAAAAAAGAGAGAGAGAAGATTGGATGTCTTCTGAGCCACTAAGTGAGAATTATTTTCTTCCTGTATGTATACCTTAGGGATAATTGACGGGCTCAAATATTGGGGGCAATTATAATTTTTTTCACATCCCAACCCTGTGAGCTCCGTTCTCTGAATCCTGAAATTTAGTGCTATGGAGAAGTCCGAGGTCTGTCTGCTTTTTATTCCACTGTGTTCAACTAGTGTTCTCTATCTTGTAGGCTGTTTCTTTATCTTTATAAATAAAACACTTTTTAAGGATATTTCTAGGTGAGAAATATGTCTAGAATATGGTACGGCCTTTTCAGGTTTTCTTCAGTTATGGTTTTAATTTAATCATATTCATTCCAATTATTCTCATTCCTCAGAAACACTTACGATGACTCTTAAATTGCTCCCCTCTCTCTCCCCCTCATTACCAATCATGGTCCATCTCATCATTTCTCACTTAGTATCTTTCCTCGTCATACGGAGAGAGCTTCTCGAGTTTATTTACTGCTTCTAGTATTGATTTTAATTTGACCATTTAACTTTTTCTTTTAATTCTCCCTTGTTTTTCTTCTCATTGGTTCATCTGTTTATTTTTATCCTAACCCTTATTCTTTCTTTATTCTTGCTTCTGTTTAATAAAGACCACATTTTCATGCATCTTACTGAAGTTGCAGAATAACTTTCAAGTCTTCTCTTTTAGATCCTGTAGTAGGTAGCATTCAGGAGTCTGTCCGCTCTTTCTCTGAATCTTTAGAATGTTTTTGTTTTGCTCACTCTTCAGCTTTTTTCCCCAAGTTCCTTTCCTTCTGTTTACTCATCCTTGGTCAAGAGAAATCCGTACCTGTGCTTGAAAGCTGCAGGGTAAATGTCCTGCCCTGGCTAATTCCCCTGCTCAGATCCACAGCCAGATGCTAAGGTTCATGTCTCCTTGTCTGAGGGGCTGGTGGGTTTTCAGTCAGGGTAGCTCTATTGTGTAGACATTGGATCTTTCCCGGCCTCCTCTGCCCAGCCCGCCTACGTTTTGAGTCTGGTTTGTAGCAGTGCAAAGGTTCTCTCCTGTCTCGGTGACCATGGGCTTTACCACTTGAGGCATCGTCCTATTCCCCAACTTTTTATCACTCCCTCTACCTTCTTCAGCATACATACTTCCCACTCTTTTTTTCTTTCTTTTCTTTTTTTTACATTATGGGTTCTGATTAGAAGTAGAAAGAAAGATATTAAGGGAAGTGAGGGCCAGCACCTGACTACCTCAAACAGTAGTGGCCACACACGGGAGGGAGGGATCTGGGTTGTGTTTGATATAGAAAGGCAGAGTTAGGCAGAATGATGGTTCTTATATCTATTTAGGTTTACACAGCAAAGAAAAAATTGTGAAAATTAGACATGCATTGAAATCACTGCATCAGCAAAGAAAGGCCACAGAACGTCTTATGTTCAATGGGAATTCCTGGTAGCAGTGGTTGGAGGATGGCTGTTTTAATTTTTGGTGGTGAAATCTCTTTCTATATCTGCAGAGGTATCACAGTAGGAAAACATTTTGTCAAGGGCTGTTAGCCATAATACACCCTGAAATTTTTATCATAAATATGTTTATGTAAGAAATGTGAAAAACCATAGTTAAATATATCCTTAATGGTAGCTCTACCTCAATTTGTAATAACACTAACCATATTTTTTTTAATCCAATTCCTGTGATGACTGAGGGTGCCATATTAGACCTGGGGTGGGCAAACTTTTTCTGTAAAGAGCCACATAGTGAATATTTTCAGCTCTGTGTGCCATTCGGTTGAAACAACTGCTCAGCTCTGTCATCCTAGCCCAAAACCAGCCATAGAGAATATGTAAATGAGTAGGTGTGGCTGTATTCCAATAAAAGCTTATGGAAACAGGTGTTAGGCTGGATTTGGCCCATGGTCCATAGTTGACTGGCCCCTGTACAGACTATACATTTGGAAGAGTGGATCTACATCGCCCCGAATGATAGGATTCAGATATATGACAGCAACAAAATGCAGCGTGAAACGTCTTCCCCATTTTTCTGACCCACTGTGCCGTTCACCATCTTGTTTGCTTCTCCTGTCTTGCTTTTTGCACCAGCCCAGGTGAGTTCTCGCCTCAGTCAGGCAGTTCTCTTCTATCCTGGCATGTTTTCTCTTAACGTGCTTTCCCTTCCTGCCCTTGTTGATCTGGATGGGTGAGTAAAGATTCTATTTCCATCAATAAAATATATAATTAGGTATTGTCAGTAAGAATTGGAAAGCTTGATTTTCCTTCTGCCAGTATTGCTACAAGTAATCTGTTCTTCCCCCGTGCTCTCGAGTTTGACTCTGCCAATATACTTGGGTCTAGTCCATGTTAGTTAAGACAGACTGACACTAACTCTATGCTGATTCAAGATTTGTGATCATTACATCTGTTCCCTGTGTACCACCCATTGTATAAGCTCATTTGCTTATTACAGTAAAATTACCAGATAGTATGACATCAGATATGCCTTTATTTTACTTTCTCACTGAAATTTCATTAATCTGAAGAGTTCTGAGGTTGAGAGATGCTCAATGATTTCAATGCATGTCCAATTTTCACATATTCTGTTAAACATCAATGGCCATAATATTTTCCATATAGAAGAATGAAGAAATAAAATAACCTAAACAAGAATACAGTTGTCAGTTTAACTCTAGTGATTCAGTTGTTTGAAATAAATACCTATTAGATAGTAATGCATTAATCTAAACATACATCATTGGGTTAAAGAACTATTGAAGTATGACTCAAACCGTCCAAGAAAAATTGAATCTCTTTGACGCCCTCCCCTGCGCATGTACTTTGGCTTCATTATTCTTACAGAGTGAGTTCCAAAGCAACCATGGTAATAAAATCTCGTTTTCTGCTTCTTGTAAGAGAAAGTGAAGGTAATCATTCAGAAGCTATCTTCTATGTAAGACAGACCACTTCTTAGTCCTTAAAACTTGCTTTATTCTAACCCTCTTTCCTTTGCCTTTAATTTGTCTACCTTCTTGCCATTCAAAAGGTTGTAGTGATAACTCAAAGCAAGATGCTGACTCTTTGGCATTGATGAGGGGACTGCTGCTGTGAAAGTTCTTCTCAGGGCAGTGGAGACAAATGGTCCGGTATTCTGGGGGTGAGAGTGGTAGAGGAGAGAAGTCCGGAGAGGGCCCTGGGGGTTCTTTGGACACTTAGTCTCTGTCACCATGCCTCTCTGCTCTTATTCCCAAATATCTAGGAATACAGTTGATTCTTCTCATGTCAAAGAACTCCCTAATGCATATATGTAAGTGTGTGCTCCCATAAATATGTGTATTCACATAAAGATGCAAAAGAAGAGTGAAGTAGCTTGTCAGGAGAGGGCTGCCTCCATTTTGTTTAGCAGTAACTCAGCAGGAGCTTAAGTGCTCTTCAGTGCTGGTGTGGTTGGTGCTCTAAAGTCTCTTTCCCACCATTTGTCGTTACCAGGTCAGCTATGTGACCTTGTACCAGTCACATAACCTCTCTGGTCTTTACTCTTCTTGTTTGCAAAGCAAGGATAAGAACATCTACTTCATAGGGTCAAGTAAAGCCTTAAAATGGTGCCTGGGGAACATGAAGTGCTGTTCTTATTGTCATTGTTATTATTGGTGCTTTTGTTTGTTCTTAGAAGAGGAGAGGACTCGAGGAATGTGCAGACCTCTTAAGAGTCACGGTGACTTTGGAAATGGCAATTCTTATCAAAGCACCAGGTGACTAATAATAAAGGAGAGGAAATTGCTATTTATGGATGCTTGAGGCACATGATTGAGTTAGCTATCAGTGAAATTTTCCTACCATCGTGGATTTTATTAATGTCTCCTTTTGATGCATTGTTCCTTTTTTGGATGTAAGGATGAAACTGTAGTCCGAGTTCCTGGAAAATGTTGCCCACAGTGCTCTTCCGGATCCTGCTCTGCATCTGGCCAAGTGTACGAGGTAACCTTTGATGCACCCCCTGTAGCTGTTTTGACATACGTTCTCACACATATGCCCTCCACCCTTCCAACCACCAGCCCACCCCACCCTCTTGTCTGAGTCTTTGCCAAGATTAGTAACTCAGTACATAAACAGCTTTTTTCTTCTCTTTGTGGGAAGACTTTATGAAAAAATTAAATTGAAGGGGATTAGAAATATAAAGGAATGTGCTAGCTGGCAACACCTGGTTCATGAACCTTGGTGAACCTACTGTTTACATGTCTTGAAGGAAGAAAAGGACTATCATTGGTTACTATCAGTTTACACTTAGGCTGGAGGCCCTGGGAATGTCGCTCTGCTTTGGTTGGATTGTATGTACTGATATCCACACTGGGGGAGGCATGGGGGTAGTAGGAGAGAGAGGGAAGGGAGGGGAGAAGCTAGTGGTGGTGGAACCTGCACAGTTGAGAATACTATTGGAATTATGTAGAAAACTGTGCCAAACACATAATAAGTGCCAAATAAAAATGAGTTCAACAAAGTGAATGAATGAATGAGTGTCTCTTTTAGGAGTGTCCAGCTGAGCCAAAAGAAGGTTACGTTATTTAAAAGCAAAGAACATATAAAAAATAAACCCAACTACTTCCCTTGTTTGCCAGCCACTCTGAAAAAGACTAAATGGAAATTGGAATTGTTCCTCTCAGTAGAGAATCTGGAACAGAGTATTAGGGAATGAATGTCACGAAGTCCAAATGGGTCCCTTGAAATCTGAACGAACATCTGAGTAACTGAACGAACAGTTAATTATGTTTGTACTTTTGTCTGTACTAGATCTGTGTTGTTCGATACAGTAGCCACGCATGGGCCAGGTTAATTTCTTCTGGAAGAGATAGCCTTTATACCTATTGTGATGTTTTTGGTTGCAAGTAACAGAAATACTCCTCTAAAAGTGGCTAAAATGAAAACATTTGTAATCTCACATAACAAGAAGTGCAGAGGTAGGGTGGTGGCAGGGTTGATCCTCTCAGCTCTTGATGGTGTCTTCAAGAATCCAAGGGTCCTTTTTTGATCTTTCCACCTGCAGCCTGCAGCATCTTGGCATTTGCACGTCCCCAAGATGGCTTCCTCCGGACTAGCTCAGCCACACACACTCATCGCTAAAGGCTGGTGGGGAAAAGGGACGGCTTTTCTTCTTTCATGGGGAAGAAGGGTCTTTTCTTTGCCCTCCACTGTTCTAGCAGAGTTCCCCTGAGGTCACCTAGGTTAGGATTGGGACAATGCCCTTACCCTAAGGGATGCTGGGAAAATGAGTAGGTGGTAGTGGGAGCTGGGTCTCCTGGCAGAGAAGAAGAACTAAAGAATGAGCACTCATTAGGCAGCCAATGGGGTCTTCTTATTAATCTGGAGGTTCCAGGGCCCCTTTGTGCCTGGCAGAGAGCAGGCCCTCAGCACATCTATGGAATACATACAGTTGAATAAAAACTAACGCGAAGTTCCCTTTGGACATTTGTTGACTTTTTTCTTGGAGGCTGTTGCTGCCTGAATGATACCATTTCTCAGGAGTACATTCCGTGTGGCTCAATTAAAAACTGTAATAAAAATTTATGTGTCTCGTGTGCCGGTGTTTCTATCTGATGTATGTGACACTTGATTCTCCACTTTGTCCTTTCTTGACTCAGCATGGTGAGCAGTGGAATGAAAACGCCTGTACCACGTGTGTATGTGACGAGGGTGAGGTCCGGTGCCACAAACAGGCCTGCCCTCCGCTAAGATGTGAAAAGGTATTTGAGAGAGTGTGGGCTGGTTTTCAAAGCTTTATCCTGGGTCATTTGAGAAAGGCCTTTCTTAGTCTAGTGTGTCTTTTGAGGGAATCCAAAGTTTTGTGATAATTCAGAAATAGTCAATGAAGATAGGAAAGACCTGCTTCCTAAGGAGGAGGGCTGAGGTAGAGAGGAACCTGCCCCAGCCGGGTTAGGTGGGGCGGTAGGGGGAAGGGAGCAGCAAACAGCGTTGGCCTTTTCTGTCCTTCTGCCCCACTGGCCCAGATGTTCTCAAGCTCTCCTGAGAACCACCCTTTACCCGCCATCTTTGTTTCTTCAGGGTCAGAGCAGGGCTCGGCGTCACGGGGAATGCTGTGAGGAATGCGTGTCTCCTGCGGGAAGCTGCTCGCAGGACGGGATTGTGCGCTACCAGGATGAAATGTGGAAGGGCTCGGCCTGCGAGTTCTGCGTGTGTGACCGTGGCCAGGTGACCTGCCAGACTGGGGAGTGTGCCAGAGTGGAGTGCGCCCAGGTAAGAAGCGAAGGCGCTTCCACGTGGACTGTAGCAGTTCTGTCCAGTGCAATGGGGGGTCCCTCACCTGCTCCTTCCTCTTCGGCAGCCGCAGAGGCGACAGCCAGGCTGACCACTCACGTTTCACAGAGCCTTCCAGCACAAGGACCCTGTGGTGTAAAATGTCACTATTTGTTCAGACTGACTCGGAACAGCCCCCGGGAGCTTTGAGTTCTCGGTGCATCTGGTCTGATGGGAAACCTCGAGCCAGAGACATGAAAGGGAAGGACATGATACGGGACACCAGCCTATCAGTCCGTGCGGCCGGACCTCGTGGCTGGTGGCCTGGCCAGCTTGCTGGTTGTGAGACAGAGTCCGCAGGTGCTCCCGGGCCCGGCTGCTGGTGCTGGCCCTACCGGCAGGATTCAGCAGAAAGGACAGCCAGCACCTACCGGCGCTTCTGTGGATCAGGAAAGAATATAAAATGTTTTTGTTTTTGTTTTAAAGAGAGAGGGAGGGAACCTCATAAATAATTAACTCAGATGACCTCTGTTGACTTCTGTTGGCTGTAGAGTTTCTAGAAGTTTCTAACAAAGCGGCCTCTGTTTGGACTATAGATGTATATTGTAGGCAAATTGCCTTTTTTTTTTTTTTCCTCTTTGAACTCCGTTTTGACCCGCTGCGAAACAAATTGCTTTGAACGTCGTCTCCTTCTCCCTCACCGCTCCCATCCGCCCCACCAGTTTCCCGCAGGGTTGTGGACTGGAGTAGATGAGGGAAACTCAGGAGATCTGAAGCTTGGGAGGTCTGTGAAGGCATTTTTCTTTCTAGTTCTGCTCCCCCACATCTCAGCTCCTCTTAGCACTGAGCCCGAGAAGGAACAACCTTTCACACGGGCTGTCAGGGACAGGGTGATTTTTCATTTTGCCTCCTACTTCTGAGTCTTGGCAGAGCTGAAACGTATTTAGGTAGAGATGGTCTTGCTTTTTGCAGATTTATTCCCCACCCTCCCCATGCCTTTTCATTTCTTTTCGTTCTTTATGTCAGGGGAGTCAGAATGGTTGGACGAAGATGAGAAAAAGCCGTCATGGTCCTTTTTTTTTCCCCCCTCCCTCTCTCTCCAGCTGAGACTGGGCTTCCTGGCCTCCCCAGAGGGCCGGGCGGAGGCTGCGTTATTTTCTAAGATCTTAATTTGCCGAATAATATCCCAGGGTTTAAGGAAAATGTGGGAGAGGTGATTCTGATATGGTGGGCCCTTTAAGAACCTATTTTCAGTGAAGTCTGAGCAGAGAGTCTCGATCTCAGGTAACAGTTTGACCCACGGTCCCCAAGGCTAACGCGTTTCCAAGTGCCTGCTATCCTCTGTAACAACGAACTGTGGCCCTGTGGGCCAGGTTTTCTTCTCTGTTCTTAGGAAAAATGGGGAGCGACAACCGAGGTGCATGGAGAGGGCCCCGCTCCCCTCCAGTCACCCCCAGCATGGTCTGCTTCCCACTCCCACCCCATCTCTCCGTTACCAGCTCAGGAGTTCTAATGCCTTTAGCCCATTTCTCTTTCAACTAAACTGGTGTCCTCCTGGTGACCTCTGTGTTTCTACCTGTTGTTGAAGGCACTGGGTTCTGAACCGGAAACACTACCAGAACTAAAATTTTAACCAAAATTGAATCTTACCAAAAATATCCCTTAACCTTCTTTCTGTGCCACACTTCTGGAAATAGCTCCATGAGCGCCTGGAGTACAAACTTCCTAACTTCTGCTTCGCTTGGAGATAAAAAGATGAGTCAGACACATTCTGATCTCAAGAGTTCCCAGGCATTTGGGGGAGGTCAGATACATCAACAGAAATCACAATATGCAGTGGCCCCAATGATGATGGAAATATGGACGAAATGCATTAGAAGCACCTGGAGAAAATGACTGTCTGCCCAGGGGAGCGGTGCAAGTGCGCTGTTGGGATTTTTGTTCAACTCTACCCCACTTTCTGCCTTTCCGAGAATATCAAGGTCATTTGATTCCTGGATACCAAGGGTAGATTCGGTCTAAGTGTCTGTACATCCACAAAGAGGCAGAAAAGTAAACTTCTAGAAGAGGAGTCAGAACTGGGCAGGTTTACCGTTGTAATAATGACCACGCTGGTCGTCAACAACAACGTTCTGAGTAGCATGAAGATCAGCACATAATTTTCCTTTGCTAAAAAAGGAGAAAATGGCACGGCCTTGTATTTTGATGTGTCCAGCCAAATCCCTAGACACCGAAACACGAATAATGCACCAACAGTGAAATAGCACAGTATGAAGATTTTCATTTTTTCCATATTTTGTGTTATCTTTGAACATGAATTAGATGGAAAAGTCAAATGACTTGTTTTTAAAGGACCTGGCATTCAACATGCATAAAATCGTGATGGTGGTGGTGATGGGGGTGGGTGGGAGCAAAGCTTAACCCAACGCGCACAGAAGAGGGAGGGCACACATAGGCGGGAGGCGCATTTCCCTTCTGCAGTGGAGGAGAATTCCCTCAAAAGAGTGTTTCCTTTTCCAGTGGGCCGGCTAGGGACGCACCGTCTTTCGTCTGGTGGCTGGATGTTGGAGTGATTCGGTGGGAAGACGTTAGCAGACTCCATCTGGCCCAGGCGGCAGAATCTTCTTAAAAAGAAGAGAATTAGTTTTGCTCCACAAAGCAATTTTTCTCCAAGCCAAAGTCAAATGCTAATTGCCACAAGCTCCCCACCACAGTGAGCTGCCGTGGTTGGGGGCGTCCAGGCTCCTCCTGTAAATAGCAAATCTACTTAGAACTCCCCGCCTCACCAAAACCGAATCTTTGCTCCCCAGCAGCAAGGCCTGCCCTTGTCCACAGTAGCGTCGGGAGCCTCGGAACGGCCACCCTCCCTGCCTTCCCGGGATGAGGCCCGCTGCATTTTCCGTGGGCACTGGAGACGCAGCCGCGTGTTCTGCCTGTAATCGAAGCACACGTATTGTGTCTCGATTTAAAACATTGTTTTAAGCAACTTAGGTTACATGCACATAAACCCCTCTGTGTGCTTTGAAAGCAGATTTCACCATTCCTGGTTAGGCCTGCAGCCCACCCGCTGCTGTGTCACGTTTCTGCAAAACAATTTCTATGTAAATCTGCCCCGCGGTCTGCGGTGTCCGCTGCTCACATTCTATTGTGATGGACAGTGATCTCTACGCGTCGCCTTTCCTCTTTGAAACCCGTTTTCAGACACTGCAAAGACTTACGATAAAAAAGTTACAGCCATCCATGTATGACTGTATTTCCTTTACAAGTTCCTATTTCCCTTCATCAAAATAATACATATTCATTTTAGAAAATTGATACTCAAGAAAAGTAGAAAAGCTTTAAAACCCACCCATCGTGCTACAGTTCAACTACAGTTTTGTACTGCACAGTGTTTTTAAACATACAATTCCTTGTGGTTATTCTGTTGCACAATTTCACATTATTCCCTTTTTATCTAACATGGTTCCTGCACTTTAAATGTAACATAGATCCCAAATTAAATAACGTCTTCATTTGAAGAATCATCACCATTCTTTAGAAAGCGGAAAGTGCTTTAAAGAATACTTCTTAGCCTGTAGGTATTAGATGTTAGTACATGCATAGGAAAAATTGTAAACAGAGATTGTGTCTCTGCAGGCTTGCAGTGGAATTATACTTTTTAAGTGATAGAATTTATAATTATTTAATTTTTATAATAAGCATTTGGTACTTTATTATAGAAATAAAAACAATGAAATTACGAATATTGGGAAGTTAAAATAATAAGACTTTGGAAGTTAAGCATCTACCTTCTCAGCGTGACCTTTTTCCTTCTTATAATTCATTTAAAAAATAATCATTGTTTGAGTTGGATAACTGTTTCAGAATATTAAATAAAAATTAGCTGTCTGCTGTTTAATTTATGCCGGAGACTACATCTGTGCATGAAGGATGTATCCAATTTCGTATTCAAGGGAAAGTGTTGGTTGGATTTGAACACTGTTAATGAAACCAAATCACAAGTTCAAACCTCGTATACTGAAGACAGCCTGATCCTTTTCTGAAACAGGTAACTTCCGAGACTACAGCAATGAACGGTCTTGGCCATTCTGTTTCGTGCGAGCTCCTGCTCATGGGTGGGGACTGGTGGAGGGAACTGTGCACACGTACCACCGCAGTGGGAATGAAACAGCGCTCAGAGAGGAGAGCTGCACGGCCTAGATTGTCCATGGGAGGACAACGCGGCAGAGGGAACAAGTTGGGGGCCAAAGCAAAGGCACGCGAGGGTTTTTCATTCCAGTCAGGGAATCCCGCTGTTCTGCAATTTGGCTCTGCTACCTGGAGATGGTAATTTGATATGTGCCTCTGCAATCCTTGCTTCTACAGGGCGAAGAATTAATTCACTTAGATGGAAAATGCTGCCCTGAATGCATTTCGAAGAATGGTTACTGTGTTCATGAAGAAAATGCAGGATTCGTGAGTATCAGGCCAATAACTGGAGACTATCACAAATTAATAATTCAAAAGTAGTTTAATGGGCCATTACCTTATACCTTTTAACCATTCATTTGTTCAACAGATGTGATTGCGTGCCTACTATGTGCCGGGTACTAGAGACACTAGAAGCAAAACGCGGGCAGAGTCCCTGCTCTTGTGGCGGGCTTATGCTCCGGTGTGGGGACACAGAGGACAGAAGCCTGGCCACATCAGGGGGTGACAGGTCCGGTGGTGAGAACAGAGCAGCTAGAGTAGCTGAGGGAAGGGGGATGCTCTTTTACATAAGGTGAGAAGTTTGAGCAAGACCTAAAGGAAGTGAGGGAGCCACATGGAGGCCTGGGGAGGAAAATGGCCTGGGAAGACGGGCCAGCAAGTGCAAAGGACTGAAGCAGATGTGTGCGTGGTGAGTTCAAGAAACAAAGTGAACATGGCCGGCACCGAATGATTGACAGGAAGGGATCTGGCCACAAGGTCCACTAGGTAGCCTGGACACAGTGGCTTTACCCTGACACACACAGGCGAGCTCTGAGCACGGTGTTGTGACCCAGCTTACTTGCGAGACGGTCGCTTTGGCCACTCTGTCGACGAGCGGCGGGAGTGGGCGAGACTGGAAGTTGTTGTCTGGTGGAAGGTCTTCAGCATAGTCCGGAGGTGGAGATGGGGTCTTGGTCTAGGGAGGAAGTGATAGAAAGTGGTCAGGTTCTGGATTTATTTTGCAGGTAGAATTGAGAGGATTTTCAGGGATGGGATGGGGGGGTTCGAAATTTCATTTGCTGAGGTTTTATTTCTAAGTCTGTACTTTTAAAAATTATATACACAAAGGAAAAATATTTATTGTAATCTCTTCAGGTTTGCTGTAGTTATAGAGCCCATATTTCCCACATGGGGTTTTGGAATGTTGATCAATTGTGTTCTAAAAAATAGGCCAGTTGATCATAAAGACAACTGCCTCATTGACCAATCACAACAAGCTGATAAGAATTGGGATTAAGTCCTTTGATTCCTCCGTACGTTTTCTTCGTGATTTGGGAAAATTGCATCTGCCAGCCGGTATATGCTGGGGCGAGAGCACAGTGTAGGGTTAACAGAGCGGGCTCTAAGTTCAGATATCTGCTTTGCCACATGCTGACTATAACCTTGGACACGTTACTTAGTCCTCATCAGTGAAAAAGGGATAACAACAGTACTTACCTCACGGGGTGATTGAGGTAATACCCGTAAAACACTTAGAACAGTGGCTGGTGTATTAAAAAAAAACAAAAAAAGCTTAAAACGTGGCATCATTGTTATTATGCTGTTGGCATTGTTTGTTTCATAAGTGGTTTATAACTTAGTCATCCTTGTTTCTGAAGAATGTAGGAGATTAAAGCCCGCGTATAGATGTTGAATTTCTAATTTCTCAATCAGAGTATCAATTTTCCTACCTTTTTTTGAGGTAAATTAAGCCAGGTGGAATTAAAGAAAAGCAAGTTGGGTTTTTTTGTTTGTTTGTTTTATTTTGGTTTTTATTAACATAATGTATTACTTGTTTCAGGGGTACAAGTCTCTGAATTGTCAGGCTTACACACTTCACAGCTCTCAGCATAGCACATGCCCTCCCCAGTGTCCATCACGCAGATACCCCATCCCTCTCGCCCCCTCCCCTCCAGCAAACCCTCAGTTTTTTAAGGAGTCTCTTATGGTTTGTCTCCCTCTCTGGTTTCATCTTGTTTTGTTAGGAGAACAAGTTGTCTTAAATGGGTCTAAACCCCGTAAGTCGTGCTGTGGTACCTTACGAGTCTGAAGAGTTTGCCCCTACAGGCTTAGACCCCTTGCCTATGAGTGCCTCGTGGTGAAGCAAATTGAAGTCAAGTGCTTGAGCACAAAGCGAGAATAAGAATTCAAAATATATTTTCACGGCATACTGTCTTCACCTCCTATCATATGCTTTTCTTGTTTTTTGACATATATAGATTTTTTTCTCTATTCATAACAAATGAAGTTGCATGTTACTTGGGCAAAATGGGTAAGTCTTAAATGCGAAAATAAATAGATCAGCCTAACGGTGATTTTAGTAGTACGATAAATACATTTCTCTTTGTTCCTAGATGTCCTCAAATGCAAGTAAAGTTAAGCATATTCCAGTAAGTACAGACTTTTAACTTGTACACATATACTTATAGAGTTGTTCTAAGCTTGTCCTGGGGAACGTTAATGTCGTAGTAAATCTGACAGTTGTGTTTGATGGCACTGTGGTCCAGTTAATGATAATTAGGACTTTGACTTATTGAAATTTTGCTCCTTCCTTTACCCTATTTTTTCCCCCACAGTTGGTAATACTTCTCTAACTACGAGCTCCTACACATACCTTTCCCTTTTTGTGATGATTTTCTCCTTCTGATTTTTTCTGGCCTAGAAAATTCAGTTTAACCATCAGTGCAATTTCATGTTCCTCAAAACATTGAGAGCTTTTGGGGTTTGGGTGTGTTCCCCAAAACAAAGCTGAGTTTTCATTCTTTCAAGGTTTTATGCAGGACAACATTGTATGGTTTCTTTTTAAGGGAAAGTACAAGCACCTTTGCTCACACAAGCAAGCTTGTAATTTTGGAGGCTATAGAATAAGGGGGCTGAGAATCCAGACTGCCTTGAAAGGGAAGTAAAGCCCTTCTCCCTTCTCCAGATAATATTCCTGGTTTTTCTAAAATTGTCATTGATTTTTGCTAACTATAGCCACATCGTTTGGAATGTTCAACATCATTTGGCTTAATAAACATTGTATCAAATATTTGTATTATAATGTGCTCTAATATTCTCCCCTGTCTTACCTCCTTCGTCACCCCAAAACATTCGGGTAGGAACCTTCATCTCTTTCCTATCTCCAGGGTGAGTGGGATAGTGAGCAAAAAGGAATTGTTCTTTATAATTCACTTTGAATTCTCCATCAAAGTGCTAAAGTTTATTACCATAATTTGCTTGGCTGAAAAGAATATTTAAGCATGAGAAAGCCCGTGGCACTTCTACAGCCCACTAAAAATGGTCATGCAAGAGCTGTCATTTTGAGAATATAAGACTCTACTGTTACTCTTGTTGAAGTAACCATAGGGAAATTCAGGGCTTTAACCAGCTTCCCACTGTTATTATAAAGATTGTATGTAATGTTCCTGCTAATCACTAGGTACATAGAAATCCCCTCTGGTGGTGTTTTTTGTTTTTTTGTTTTTTTGGGTTTTTTTTTTTTGGTGAGATAGGCTGAGAAACAAGGGTTATAGTCTTCTTGCTTTTTCCAGGAGCCCCAGAATGCTTTCATGGTTTATCTGTCTGCCTGGGTTGTACTTTAAAATAAATCAGTTATAAACAAAGAAGGAAAAATATTTCCTCTTTAATTTAGAATGCTTCAACTACCATCTTATCAGAGTTAGGTTTGCATGGTGGTTTGCATTTTGTTCATTACGGAAATTATAAGTTCTCCACCAGCCAACTGTCTTGTGAACTTTTGCAGTTCTGATAGTGCCATTCTTTACTGTTTCATACAGGAGGGGGAGAAGTGGGAGGATGGCCCTTGCAAGCTGTGTGAGTGCCGGGCCTCTCAGGTCACTTGCTACGAACCCTCTTGTTCACCGTGTCCAGTGGCCACACTAGCCCAGGTGGTGACGGGACGGTGCTGTCCAGATTGTACGTCAGGTGGGTCCGTGTCTGATTGATTTCTGCTGACGCATCTTTATGGCCAAAAAATTCTGAGAGATCTTCTTTTTCCCTTCTTACTTTTTTTTTTTTTAAGTCACCTACTGGGTTGGTTGTTTCATTTGATCCTTGCTAATTTTTCTATTAAATGATGTTACTGAATCTTTGTCTATATATTTGCCAAACCCAGCAGATTATGGGTATGTGATCTTGGCCAAGTCGTTGACCCTCTCTAAATCTTCATTGCCTCGTTGGTAAAATGTGCCTGATCTACCTTGAAAAAGTGATTATGGATATCAAATAACATAAAGTCTGAAAACTTGTAAAGGCAAATGCATGTGTTAGAACTCCTCCGTTGTTAAACCTGTAAGAGCAACTGCTGGAAGTTTGTTACAGCTGTCCGTTCTTTTTTTTTTTTAAGCTGAGCTATTAAACAGATGGTTCCTTTTGGAGTTCTCAAATGGGTTTTTGAAGTTTAAAGACTCATTAATTTCTTCCAAAAGAAAATTTTATCTACTTGCTCTGCAACTCTGCTTTTAAATCACCCGGGGTTGAATTAGTTCCAGTTAATAATTGTTGGCAAGCTCTGGTGTTGCTCTGGCTGTACAGCAATTTGCCTGTAAGCTTAGTCTCTCTTGAAAAAGTGGCATTTTCTTCCATTCGTATTTCATAATTAATTGTTTTCCTCTGTGGGTCGCAATTTTTCATATTGGTGGTTGCTTTTGTTGCACTCAACTTATTTTGGCTATTCATAGTGTTTCTATGAAGAGCTTATCATGGGAAAAGCAAAGCAACTTTATGGTTTAATTAGCTTACCTTCACCAAAGTGGCTCCCTGGGCTTTCCAAAACAAATATTTAGCATATTAAAATGTACAATACCTTGAAAATCAGGTCCTTGACAACTTCAGAACTTGAAAGAAGTCCTTTGCTGACAATTGTCACTGAATTCAATGATAATCCCAGTTATTGGGAATGAGATTTGAATTTTGGAGAAAAAGAAGAAAGCTTTTTTTCTTTTTCTTTTCCTTTTCTATTTTAGAAAAAAGAAGAGAGGTTTTTTTTTTTTTTGAGAAAATGACTTTTTAAAAATTGTGCTTTGTCCTAACTTTCTATGCATGCCAAAGCTTAAGAAGAATGTCTAAGAAATCATAAATTATTGAATTCATTTTAATCGTGTATGACGGAGCTGGTAATTCCTGTTTGCAGAGGCATTCCGGTGGGTAGAAGCATTAACAGGGCCATTCAGTCATGTTTTTAGTATCTTCTATTTAGAGCTACCAGAGACAGTAGTAATATTTCAGAGAAGGAGAGGTTCTTTGAAATCTTACATTGAAGTCACTTCTGCTATTTCGGGGCCTTTTTCATATCTAAGTTCCAGAGTTTTCTGTTCTTCATATTCTATACAGCTGCATATGCTCTGTAGATTCTGGAGGAATGTGAGAGAAATCCTGTGGTCTTTACTAAATTCTCCTCTCCTTTGTCCTTGGTTGTAGTTCATTGCCACCCAGACTGCCTGACCTGCTCTCGATCTCCGGAGCACTGTGACCTCTGTCAGGACCCCACGAAGTTGCTGCGGAATGGACAATGTGTACACAGCTGTGGTCTGGGATTTTACCAAGCTGGTGCTCTCTGTTTAGGTATGTCTCTGGGCAGGCAGCCCAGAAGTGGACTGAGGCTCACTGTTGTCAATGAAGGGGTCCGTGCACGCAGGAAATGCACAATTTCCGAAAACCATTAGAAGGCAGGAACCTCAGCCGTGGGTTACTTGGCCTCTCTACCTGCAGGCTTCTTGCTTCTAACGTTTCGCAGGTGTTTAGATGCTTACTGGGAGAGGTGATGTGGAGGTCAGATGTTACTCGGTGGTTGTGATGGGATTTTTCATTTTTTGAAGACTTTCCAAAGAAAGTAATATCGCTAGGATTCTTGGTGTCATTTATACAACACTCAGTTAATCCAAGAGAGAACTTCAGAATTGACACATGCATTTGAGATCCCTTACTAGAACTTTCTCATTTTGCAAGTGGGGAACGTGGGGGCCAGAGGAATCAGCTGGCTTGTTCAACTTCACGCAGATAATTGGCAGTAGAGTTTATCTCCAGTGGGGGATCCACAACGGGTCCATGTCGCTTTTCAGAGTTCTTCTACGTCTGAGAAGATTTTCCCCGGCAGGATTTGGTTGTTTGAGGTCAGATCATCGTTACTTTTCCTTATCTCTGACTCGTGGAGCTAAGTATGCACTTAAGAGTGTATTGGTTTATACCCCGGGTCTGAGTATTTAACTGCTCTCTGCCTCAATATTCTTACCTGAAAAGTAGAGTAGTGCTGACTAGTACCTTCCTCAGAGGGTTCTTGGGAGGACTGAGTGCGTTAATACACATGAAGTGTCTAGAATAGCTTTTCGGATATTGTCAAGCCTCAATAAAGCTTCACCACTTTTATTATTTTGTAATTATTTATTTCTCCCCACTTTCTTTCCTGATTCCTAATCTTTGGCCTTTTTGAAAGTTATTTCTATCTCCGCCCTGGGTTGTGGAAGAAAAGAGACAAGGGGTATTCTTAGGAAGTGGTTGAGGGAGAAAGATATTGGGGCCTGTTAGGTAAGAAGAGCAGGAGCCAAACTTCCTGGCTTCAAATGACAGGTTCGTGTGACCTTGGACAAGTGACTTAACAAGTGACTTGTTCCTCAGGTGAAGAAAGGAGGTTGTTCCTACAGAGGAAGCGCTTGGAGCAGAGCCTGGCATGAGATATGTGCTGTTTAAATGAAGGCTGGCCAGGGGACTCTCCTGCCTTTCTTGTTCCCAGTATCTCCAGGGACTCAGAATTGGGCCACGTAAGAGTTGGCCCAGGGGTGGCATCTTTGAGCTAATCAGAGCTGCCCTTTTGTTCTTTCCCCCCACCCCTTGCCCGGAGCCAGCCTGCCAGCCTCAGTGCTCCACGTGCACCAGCGGGCTGGAATGCTCGTCCTGCCAGCCTCCGCTGCTGATGCGGCGCGGCCAGTGTGTGTCCTCCTGCGGGGACGGCTTCTTCCAGGACCGCCACTCCTGTGCAGGTAAGCCTGGCCCAGCCACCAAGAAAGCCAGCCCCACCTCTGAAAGATCTGGGGCTGCCCGGAGCTGTGAGCAGTTGTTCAAGTATGAGAGGAAACTCTGAGCCAGACTCCCGAGGGGCCGAGAACCATGGAGGAGAGAGACGACACGTGTTTTTACAAACTCGTTAGTGCTTTGGTGACGTGTGCGCGTGGGGTAAGATTTCTCGAGGTCCTTCTGCACGTGCCTGGGGCCCTGGAGCAGTTCTTAATTGGGTTCGGGTGGTCACTGTGTCGTAAGTTAGATTCCTTCCTCTTGTAAATAAATACACAGCGCTTACATGAAAACAAAGGGAGAAACAGATCTCTATTTTTTTCAAAACTCAATTTCTACCTGAAGAGAAAGGGAGAAACAGAAATAAGAAAGTGACATCATGATCAGAAAGTGGGACAGGATGATGGCATTTACATTTACTCTGACTTTAGTGTCTGTATACTAAGTCCAAGTGTAATACTGAGTGTACACTAAGTCTAAGTGTTGCTTGTACTGGGCCGTTTTTCTAGTAGTGATTGTAATCATGAGTAAAGTAAAAATGTATAAAGAATTTCTTAAATGCAAGAATAGGAAAAAAGTAAGGGCGTGCAGGAATGGGAGACGGGGTAATGGTGGAAGCAGAGACAGGGGCAGAGTCCTAGGCTCGTCCGCAGGAGACAGAGAATCCGGTGTGCTCCAAACCTGAGCCAGGGTGCCCCGGGGGGAGGCAAACCCGAAAAGGCGGACAGGCCAGAGGGAGGGTCTTGGATGTCTTACGAGGAACGGGGGTAGCTGGCTCCGCCGCTGAGCGGGACGGGACTCGGACATGTGATGGAATCGAAGCTGGGCTAGTCTGAGGGTCAGCTCATATGCTCCCCACTTTTATGCCCTTGGCTAGATTTTTCAGGAGGATCATTTGGCGGGAATGTAGTAAAAGAGCGTAGGTACGTGGTATTTACTGGCTCCGTGGGCTGCACGAGCTCTGTGGCATGGCAGGTCCTACAGGGGAGGTCTGCGGGCCTCCTCCGTTCCAGGTTGTGGGCAGAAGCAGTGTCCACGGCCTGGTGGAAACCACCCTGGGGGAAGCACTAGCACTGTTAGTGTCGTGCGGCCCGGAGGACAGCAGGGCTCACCCTGGAGCCACTTACAATACAGAACAGAAGACACGCGGCCTTCCGAGTCTGCCGCCGGGCCTTCGCAGCCTGCACAACCGTGTGCCGCGTCCCCAGCGTCAAGGGCGGCTCAAGGCGTCCGCTTGTTCAGTGTTGGCTGAGCACGTGTTCGGGGAGTGAAGGAACGCATTCCCCTTTGGGGATCTCGGAAGGACCCGCGTTTCAAGGCATCTCAGCCATAAAAGATAAAGAACCCTTAATGTTTCTTACTTACCATGTTCCGTTTACCTGTTATTTTAGAACAGGCTCAAAGCGGGCGCCTCCGAACGCCTTCCTAAGTGCGTAATGATTGGGCAATTTAGGTAAATTGCTAAAATTTCAATTTGATGATGTCACTGAATGTCGTCTCCTCCTTTCTTCTATCCCATCAAAGAGACCGCCCGCTAGCACTCCTGTGACAGGTTTGCTTTTAAAAGGGAATTAATTTCCCCTAGATTTTATTCTTCCCTCCGTAACCCCTCTATCCCCTGCCACACACCCCACGTAGGTTTACTTTTTTCTTTTTTTCCCCTTTCTTTTGGGGGGCCATTTTCCTTTCTCCTGTGCCCGGTGTTTTAGTGGGTGATGTTCATGCTGCTCTAGGGCCCTTTGAAATGGGTAATGTTTCATTTGATTACTGGTTTACATAGCCGACTGCTCCCACATTCCTTCCACATACCCATACACAAATGCCTCTGGTAGAAAGTTGCTGGGAAAATTTGCTCATGCTCCCTTCAGGGAATTAAACCAATTTGCTTTAGTTCAGCCTGGTTGCATTTTTATGCATAAAATGAGAAGAAAGAAGAGAGAGGGAGAGAGAGAATGATCTTAAAAATTAAAGCTAAACTTGTGATCAATTTCCATACACTGTTTCAATGTTGAGACAGCCCCAATCAGCTTTCTCATTATTGGAATTTTTTGCAACATTTGGGCTTGTGCTATTTTTGGTGGCTTTTCACCACTGACCTTGGACGTCTGTCAGTCAACCAGGGCTCTTCCAGCACTTTCCAAAAAGAAGCCGGCCATTTTATGGTAACAACAGGTTTTTCTGGATTGATTCCTCTTAGCAGGGTCATTTATGGGATGACGAGCATCATCTGCCACTTTACTGACCCATCAAAACCAAGAGACAGAGAGCTCTGTGCTGAGGAAACTAATTACCGGAAATTACCTGATTAATATTCATGCTCAGTGTGTTGAATGTAGAGCCGAGAGAAAGATGTGGGGCAGAGCCGGGCGGTACATCCACGATGACTCTTCAACACGGGAGTGGGAGCAGGTGGCCAGAGGGCTCAGAGAAGGCCTGGGGTCCTGCCAGTCACAGCCTCAGGGGTCCTTCTCATGCTCCCTTTTCCCTTGGATTTTGGGGCACAGACACCCACATACACAGGCCAGACGAGTGTGTTTGTGTAGATATTTATGTTATTGTGACATTCTTGTGCTCGATTGAACCGAGCCGGGTCGTAAACACAGACCCCATTAGGCACCCCCACGCCGGTTGCTGCTCTATTCCCTCTGCCTTCCCCAGCCTTGGACTTGATCTGTTGATCACCTCACCTGAAGGCGCAGCACCACCAGTCTTCGTACCAGTCTAAGCTGGAGACGGGTAATACAGATGTTGCCTCTTCTCTGTGGCATGTGGGGCCAAAGAGTAGTCACCCTCTTGGGGACCAGAACCCATTTTGAGACCTGGCACTCAGGCTTCTGCCTTAACTCTTGGGCGTCCTCTGCCACCAGCTGGATCTGGTCCAGCATCCCTGGTGCCACCCTGTCCCACTCTTCTTGAACCTGTGGACATCGGGTTCTGGACTGGCTTCTGCTTTGGCTCCTTCTCCCTGTCTGTTACCCATTTCCAGGAATTAACAGCCTGTCCCTGAGTCATCCCAGCCTGATGGTCAGGCCTGACCCATGTATGGATGCCCCTGGCCTCCCCCATCTCTCACATGACCTTGCACCTTTCCTGCATGGCTCCTGGGGACCACTTGTCCTGGCTTTATTGTCATCTCTCTACCACAGTGGTGGTTCCCTTGCCTCTTCTTAGAACCTCTGTAACTCTGGATCCAACTCGGTTCACCCTGCCCTGAAAACACTCTCCCTTACCGGTCTTGTCCCTCACTTTAGTCAACCCCTGTTCCTCTCTGGTGGGACCGCTGAACTGTTGCACACACAAATCCTAGGCACGGGAGCCCATAAGATAAAAGTTTAAAACAACCAAACTAACACACACAAACTGACACACACCATTTAGTTGTGCTAAATAGCTCGTAGGATTATAACTTTGAGTAAAGAGAGTAGAATTTAGCCCATTTTTATATGTGAGTCATTGTTTGATTTGTGCAATGAGAACTTCCAGGAGTCACAAAAACCCAAGGATGAAGCTATGTGTACCCTGGGACGAGCGCTCCCTTCATTCTGCAGACCCAGAGATGGGAGGGAGAGTGACACGGTGCTTAGACTGTAGGCTCGGGAGCCAGACCACCTGGATTCCAGTCTTGGCTCTGTTGCTACCAATGGTATTTTTTTTTTTTTTTTAAACTCCACACTTCACTTGCCTATGGGTAAAGCAGTGACAGTAATGTTTGCCGTATAGCATGGTTGTAAGGATTAACTGAATAAATTCACATATGTCATTTAGGATGGCACCTGGCATTTAGGAAGCCCTCCACATGGGTTAGGAGACTTGTGTTTCTTTTTTTCCCTTCCTCCCTGTTCTGTTTCTCTCTCTCCTACATTCACTCTCCTTTGACCATTGCTCGAGGTCCTGAGGATAGGAAGAGAAATGAGACCCTATCATAGTTTCCTCTAAGTGAGCTAGCAATCAAGGCAGAGTTAGCTGCTGGTTACAGAGATGTAAAAAATAATCACATAAACATGCAAATCCATGCAGTTTCCTCTACATCTGACTGCTGCGTGGTCTTGGGCTTTGAAGCTTAAGGAACCAAGCCATTGAACATTTTACAGGTTTGTATGAAGGGGGGATCATTTTGATTCTTGCCTCTGTTACTGCTGTCGGGCTTTGCACAGGTCATTTAGCTGCTTTGAGACTCAATTTCCTCGACTGCAAAATGGGGACAATGTCATGTACTTTAAGCCAATATGATGAACATTAGAAAAGATGTTTGAAAAATACAAACATATTATGCTTGGAATATAGTTTGTGAACAAGAAAAGGCAGGTGTTGTCATCCAGTCTCTTCCTTTATTTTTGAATTTATGGGAATGAAAATCAAATCACTTGCATTAAGAAATGGAGTTTTGGGTCATTTGCGTCTGATTTCAGATAAAATCTACTTTCCTATGTTATGGAGAAGTAAATATAGAGAACAATTTACTGTATTCATCACAAAATCCTTTTATTTTTTTCAATGTTCAGATTAGGTGTTGAGAGTCTGGAATTTTGTTTCTTAGCCAAAATTATGGTATAATTAGAGGGAAAACGTAAGATAACTGAGCCTGTAAAATTTACATATAGGATGCTGACCTAGCTGAGATTTAAAAGCTATAGTTTGAACGGAGCAACTTGTAAAGTTAATTATTTGCTGGAATTGTGTGTGACCAGAGCAGCCGAGCCATTTGTGGAAACGAAGTGCTGACCCTTGGAGCCAGGTCCAAGGCAGTTAAGACCTAATGGGTCTCGGCATTATGTTCCAGCATGTGGGTTAGCTCAGCCTGGTTGTGCCCGGGGCCAAGCTCTGGGCAAAGGCATTTATGAAACTGCTGTTCCAGAATCCTCGAGAAGAAAAGGAAGCCCTCCTCATGGTCGTGGTGAGGACGGTCGTGGTGAAGCTGGCATCCTCCGTGGCCCCTCCCACATCCCCCGGAACTGGAGGGTCAGTCCCT